AACATGACAACCAGAAATAAACACAACAGCAAAAAATGGAACAAAAATACAAAAATAACCAAAAGCAAAGTTTCAGGATTTAGTATTACAGTCTTACCACTTATTCTAAAAATATATATCAAAATGTACTGATTATGATTATGGAAACAGAAAACTACTGCGTACTATACAGAGAAAAAAGGTCGCAATAAAAAGCCATACAGTCCTATGCAAGGAATATCACAACTTTGAATTGTAGGCAAATCATACCTAAAACAAATATTAAGTCAACTATATGTAGTTGTCCACTAAAATCAAAGAGTTTGAGACAAGCAGAAAAACTTGTATGATTCTCCAGGCACTGGCGTATACCAAGCATTGCAAGCACCAGTGCTGCTTAAAATTTCTCTATTGTATGCAAGCTGCCTTTATTATTTATAATGTTGACAGAGACGAAACCTAAGTAGCTTTCAAAAAACAGTCTTTCTTACTTCTTATAGAGAAGGGCATGTACTGTGACACAATGCTAATATTTTTCTTGCAAATGTAAACATTACTTGCATAAGTACCTTTTGAATCAATAAAAGTGATTATTTAAATTCTTTTATCCTGGAAGCATCAAATTTGCCATGACTGATGTAATCATCCATTAAATTAATATTCATTACTTGTAATATATCATACTGCCCAGGGTCTCTACCACATTTTGTAACACTATAATCCAGTGTGCCCTACGTGAAAATGATATGGAATGTTTTTATTCTTGATTCTACCTCTGAATTTTCATTTTTTTGAAATTTCAAAAATTAATAAATAGATATTTTATGTTTTGCATATTGATTTCTGTCACTTTCAGAGGAATAAGTTTAAAAATAAAATTGCCACAGTAAGTAGCAGCACCATGTCAATTTAATCTATTTCTAATGAAGACAAGTGTTTGTTTCTTTGTTCAAGCTTGAGTTGAAGGTCATCAAATGATACTTTAAATTGTTCTAAAAATGTTTTCAGAGCCCAAAAAAAAAAAAAAAAAAAAAAGGCTTCTGTTTTTTGAGGATTTTTGTTATATGAATTTCATCTAAGATAAAGATTCAAATTAGCTAAATGTTTGAATCATTTTATTTTTAATATTTAAATCTTTCTATGACAACAATTAAACATTTTGATATTTTTGAATAATGTTACCAGTACATGTACAATAACCAATTCTCACTTTCATTTGTTTGAATACATGCGTTTTCAATAAACAACTTTAACAAAATTAAGAAACTTTCCTCTGTACATGTACAAGTAAAAATCCCCATGTGATAGCAGATACATAAATCCAGTCACCAGAAACAACATAAAAACAAGTAGGCTAATGTTTAAAAAAAATTTTAAAATATACAAGGTAGCAATTTACACAGATTTTGAAAATACCAGTAAACCAGGTAAGTATCAGACTTGAAGGAGTCATGCGAAGCCCACTCAATCTTAAACTACAAAGAGATTGAACTACAAGTTCACCTCAGTGAGTCTCTAATCCCTAGACTTCTGAAATCCTTGACTTTTAAGGTCCATCTCACCCGTCTAAATTCCATCAAAAAGAACATCATTACAATAATAAGGTGAAAACCTACCCGTGATCTTCTGAGAGACTTTATTCCCTTCTCCAAGAAGGCCACATTTTCTCGGTGGTTAGCGATAGTCGTCATTCTTTTCACTTGAAGTTGATCAAATAATATTTAACTCAGCTGTTTTAACTTTTCCCCTTTTTCCGGTTGAAAACTTTTGTTGATATTAAACACTACTTCTTTCACAACTGGCACCATTTTGACGAACATATATTCCTAAAAATCCATATTGAAAAGTGTTCCTACATATTCTCCTTTAGGTTAATTCGTCGATAAACTTAAGGAAAACGACAGCGACTGTTGAAACGGCGACCCCTCATGTTTACAGTAGTCCGCCATATTTGCCCTAGATATGCAAATAGGATGTAGTCATTGACGACCAACAAGTGCGTGATCACGTGACCGTAATTGGCTAAACGTGAACTACTACTACATGTCGTTAAAGCAAGGAGTTATAACTCCTTGGTTAAAGTTATTTCTATTTAACGCATAAAATTATTTGTTCAAGAGTGAAATGTAAAAACTGACAAATGAGCAGTTTTTAATTAAGTCTATTTTATTGGTGATAAGATGAATAGAAGAGATCTGAAGAGTGGATTTTACTTGAAAAAAATGCACCACTAAAAATGGCTTTACTTCTTTTCCATTTGTTTTTTTACATATATATCTTTGTGTTCTGTTATATACTGTAAGGCATTATAAAAAGACCTATGCTACAAATATGAATGCATCACTGAAAAGCAAATATAAAGTTGCTGGGTTATCTAAATTTAAAACTCACTTTCAAATTAAACCAATTTTAAATTATTAATAAATAAAATTTATTTAAAATAATGAAGAAATAACAGAAAATGAAAACAATAAACTCACTGTAATTTGCATTATAACACCTTTATCCTTTTATTCATGCAGTGATAAAATAAATAATTTATCCATCAAAATTCAGCTACAGAAACCTGAACTATTTGTTGAATCAATCTAACAATCAACACATTAAAAATTCTGAATTGCATACACAATCAATCATTGGTCAATTGAGTATTTCAACAATAAATGTTGCTGAAAAGTTGTGTCCAATCTACAGGTTAAGATGGAGAAAAGTGTATTTAAAGTTAAACCTATGTATTCTCAATAAATTAATGAAATTCATGTGTACTCAAAATAGTACCATGGGCTATGAATAGTGCAAGAATGACCTTCAAATGGTGCAACAAACGGTGTCCTTTTGAGAAAAACGCCAATTGGAATTAACAAATAATCATACAAACACTCATGACCCTAACAAGTATTGACTTTCATAACCAGATGATGGAATTAACCACTATAGAATCTGGTTACGTCCTGAATTTTCTTTCTTTTACTATCCCACTCCCTGACTCTACTATAAATACTATACAACTCCAGTCATTCATCTCATGCAGTGTTGCCGCCTTTCTGGTTGCAGAGTCCTATTTTATCCTCAATTACAAAAGTGTTCTTCTGAAATCCATGTCAATGCAATATCAAAGTAACATCATTGATGTCAGGTTGTCCAGGTGTCTGGCCAAGCAATACACACACGACTCCTGATATCCGACACAAATTATCATTGCGCTGTTACATCTTGTTAAGTTTTTTCATTGTTTTTTTTTCGCCACTGCTTTGCTTAATTCTCTCCTTCATATTACTGGGACCTGCATTATTCATTATTTTGTGTTGATTTGACACTTTTGTCTTTTTTCTTTGTCTGCTTTTTTCTTCTGTCACCTTTTTGAAGCTTTCTCATGGTAAATGTGATGCACTGTGAGTAAAGAAAAATTTAATTCTGAACAAACATACAATAAAAAAGAAACACTAAAAGTAATGCCTTATAATATTCTAAATTCATCTGAAATGTGGCATCGATATCTATATGCAACCTTACATGAACCAAGAATCTAAATTGAAGGTATTTCAATTATCTTCATGGAAAATGTTACTGAACAAAAATAACATAAAAATATCTGACAAAAATTTCATAAACTTCCCTTTAATACTCAAGAATCTTATCAAACAACACAATGAGCCTAAAAATAAAATCAATAGACTTTTGAATAATTTACCTTTTCATCCAGAAATTCCATCAGTTTTTGCTGTCCACATCTGATACCTGCTGCATTGATGGCATCCTGTAAATCTCCCAGCTCAAGAGGCTAAAATAAAATATGGAAGACATTTTTTCTTAAATATCTTAAATTTGCTTTAGCATTTTTGTATTTATATATTTAGCAGCATTTTGAATCTCACATGAAATTTAATTTTCCTTACAAAGTGAGAATCCTAAAGACATTTTTATAAATAAAACACATTTTCTTATACCTAGTTTTATTGTGAAAACAGTCACTTACCTCATAGTGTAAAATCTTCGAGTGAAGTTGCTTATCAGACAGGATAAAACTCATTAGTTTGGAGTGAAGGTCTGCAGATGAAACCTGTATTCAAATAACCAAAAGCAGACATTACCTGTTGGGCTGAAAGCTCTTATAATATGGGTCAAATCTTCGTCATCCAATGTACATATCATCTGCTAGAAGATACTGGAAACACTCCAGACATGGATATCTTTCCTTACTATAATAGAGAACTAAAAGCATTTTACGAAACAAATCTCTTGATATTCACGCTCAACCTCATTCATCAATTTACAGGCAATATACTGGTAGGTCAACTGGTTACACAAACCTCCACTTACCTGCTGAGAAGGTGTAATATCTTCATCTTCTTCTGGCATAATAGTTTCTTCCAGCAAAGCTTCCTCCAATCTCTCTCTGAAGTAGTCATGTTTATATTAACCATCACGCATCAGTCAATTTAGATTTCCAATCATTGAAAAAGTTGACAATCCAAATTCATGCAATATTCTTTGAAAAATAGATGGAATGTTATTGTAAAATTAGCAAAAACTCTAACTGATGTAATGATTTTATATATTCTTTATAATTCACAGTTTGAAATGTATCAAAATTTTTCATTTTCATAATATTCAGACAAATTTAATTCTGAACCATGTAACTTTTCACAACTGTTACAACATGTTAACATGTAGTAAATAAGATGATCAAATTATTTTCAAGTCACAAAATGATCACATTTCTTTAATATCAGAGATGAGAACCAACAAAATATTCCTTACTCTTCACTTTCCTCCTGTGTGCTAATACTCTCTTCTTCCTCACTGGAGATTTCATGTGCCTTGGTCCTACTCTCAGAAACAACAGACTTTGCTCCAGTAGCACTTATCTGGGTTTGTCTTGAAAGAGTGCCATCTGGGGAGAAATTTACTTCAACTTTATTTGTGCTTTTCTTAGGTGCTGCCATCTTTCTTTTGGTCCCAGCCATCAACTGCTTGGTTTTTCCTGGACCCTTTGGTCCCCTTTTTCCCCCTTTAGGCTCTTTGGTGGCATCTATGTTTGGTAGGCCATCACTGGTATCACCGCTATCAGGTCCAACAGCCTTTGCAGGAATAACAATGTCATCTGGTTTTTCTTTGTGGAAGCTCATTTCACAGTCTGTGTCAGTTTCATCTGAATATACATGGAATACACTTTCTTAATATATTTATTAAAAAAGTATATTACAAGATCTTGTTGTTCTAGTTATTACTCATAATTCTACACAAAACTCTATCAGAGGTTTCTTGTATGTTAAATTCACAAAAGCTTCAAGTCAGACACATATCAGCATGAATTCTAATAATTCACATTACAATAATATATAGTCTGAATATCAAGACAATTTAATTCTTCTGGTACTAACATTGGTGAGTTTCCTTGTATATATGGGTTAGAAGGGTTCTCATACGTTTCTTTGCCATGTTTGGTCGTACCCCATATTTTTGCACTGCTCTCTAAAAAGAAAAAATAGGAACAACTTTGAAACGTTAAAAAATAAAAAAAAATCATGATATAATTCAAATGTTGAAAGGTATGAAAAAAAACCCTTTAAATTCAGTCTGCAGAATTTTTCACTGAAACTGCATAGAAACCATGTTATAATCTTACTGTTTCCATACTAATTACAATAAATTTTTACTACCTTTAATTCTGGTGTGACCATGTCATCATAATTAGGCATAGGGGTAAAAGGAGATGGGACAGTTGGTCGCTTGAGTTTCTTCTGAAACACGGGTGTGCTGGTTTCCTTTAACCAGAGAAATTATCACAAGAATTTTAAGTGAGAATGAAATAAAAAATACTTCATATATGGCTTGCTAAAATATGTATTAAAGTGATTGTTTGTTACAGAAAGTTCACTGAAAATACCTTTACACTATTTAAGTATATCCAAAGTTCATGGAAACTGAACGTTCACATTGAAAAGACATTTCGTTAAGTGAACTAGAATTTGTTATGGTCTGATGCAAACATCTAAAATAAATCTGCATTTAAACAAGTTACAACACTAACTTTCTTAGGATCAGCATTTTGCTTTGCCAGATCTAGAAGTGGTTCATTTTCTTCACTCCAAATAAAACTATCAAGACCAAGCTCTTCAAGTTCTTCTTTAGGAAGCTTCTCTGGAGCCGTTTCTGCAAGTGGTACCACCTGCCGTTTCTTGGGCTGAGATGTCTGCTGTACAGTATCCTAATAGCAAACAAATTGACACATTTAACTCATGACACGTAAAACACAATTGTTATCCCAATAACAATCACTGCATGGAAACATTATACAATCTGGAAAATTTTGCATAAAAAAATCTGCACTTTGCACATATCTGCAAAGAAATTATACTTCAGATTAAAATTTTCAAGTTCAAATTATTGAATAATCTTCTCCACAAATCAAATCAAAATCTTACCAATTCTTCATCAGTTTCTATAAAAGTGGGTGGGCTCAAATAGCCATCACCATCACCATCACCATCACCATCATCTTCATCCACATCTCCTCCACTTTGATCTCTGTTCTTTGTGTGTCTCTCCTGTTCTTGTCTCACATATCCAACAAGCTCGCTACCACCAAGCTGTTGACTGGGGGATACTGGGAAGTCTACAAAGCCACCACCATCATCAAAGTCGTCCCACACCCCAGGGTCTGGGTTGTCTAGGCTCAGGTCCACTAAAATACAAAATGTGTTAACATCTTCTAAACATGGGATTACTGATGTTCTGCTTACTCTTTTAATTAGTCAAGTTATTCACTGCTATAAATCTTAATATTTGTATAAAAATTGCATGATTGTCTTTGATCTCTCATTTAAACAATCATAAATCATCCTACTAGGGTACAGTACTGGGTAAGAATAAACAACAGCTTATATTACCTCTTAAATTTATTTTAAAAATACTTCACTTAAAACAAATAATTAAGTAGAAGTTGTTCAGAATGTTAAAATTTCTAGACAAAAGGATCTCACAGTAATGAAAGGTACACCAACCTGACTCCACCACTTCAGCTCCATCACTATCATGAACACTGTCCACTTTCCTTTTCTTGTTTCCATCCCCATCATCCAAACTGTCATTGTTCACATCAACTTCCTCTATACTCTCATCACTGGAATAACTGCGCTTTCTCTTCTGAGAACCAAGAGACGAATTTCGCTTAAAAACAGGAGAGATATTGGGGCTGTCAAAAGGGGTTATTGTAAGACTCTCTGGTGATGTACTCTTTGAAGGGGATATATTATGGGGTACTGGAATTTGCCCATATCTGCCACTAGAGGGTGCTGAGAGACTGGGCTGTGTCTTGTCTTGAAGGGGAGGTTGAGAACCACCATGAATAGAGGGTGCAGCACCTGGACTGTCATTATCCTTCACGAAGCTTTCCTCAACAAACTCCACCTCATCATTAGAATCTGACTCATTATCAGTACCATTCTTGGTTTGAACTTGAGGTCTTGTTTTCTCTTCGTCCTCCCTGTGCCCAATTCCAAAAGAAAAATGATTACCTGTGTTGCTGTCCTTGTTTAATGCATCTCCCATTTCTGACGTGCCAAAAGTGGGTGAAAGTGGGGGTGTAGGTGGAGAAGAGGGTGGGGTAGAATCCTTATGTTGGCTTTCTATGGGAGATGCCACAATGTATGAACTCTTTCTCAGACCACCAGAGGGAGACATGACCACAGGAGACAAAGACTGGTCAGTGACAACATTTATAGCCAATTTCTCATTATTTTTCCCAGTGGGAGAGTGAGATGAAAAATCAAGTTTCATTTGGCTTGGAGAAAACTGCAATGTCGATTTAGATGTCCAGTCATCTTTTCTTGTTTTTACATTTTTTTGTGTACCACTTGGAAGACTATTGTTTATGACAGATTTAGCACCTCTGAGGTTCTTTGGACAAGGACTTCTGGCTTTTGTAGAGCTCTTCACACTGTACACAGCTGTGATGGGTCCAACCTTCCTCAATGGAGAACACTTAATGTCTTGAACTACGGGGTTCCTTTCATACTCCTTGTTAACAGGTGATGCTAAAACCTTATCAGAGCATGGGTCATTTTTTACCTTGGTCAGAGTGTGGCCATTCTGAGGTGTCAACTGAGTGTCGGCAAACATATCAGGAGTGCTAAATAAGGAGCAGCTGGACACTGCACTGGCCCTTCTTGTGGTCAGCGGGGTATGACTTTCAGTTTGGTCTCTATCATACATACTGTCTCTTGATGGTTTTGCTGATGGAGAATTGTCTTTCTTTGATGAGGATCTTATTTCTTTGTCAATTTTGGCATCTCCACAATTCAACTCTTTTAAATCTCCATTCTTTAAAATGTTATCAATAGAAACTTCATCATCAGAATGCACATCAATTATGTCGTCTAGATTTTCAGAGGTTAATCTATCTTTATCAACAGGTGAGATAAGTTTATTTCCATGTTTACGCAATTTCTGAGAACACTGTAAGTCTTTCTGAAAGAGTGTTCTTTGAGATTTAAGGATTTTTCCAGGGCTAGTCACAGAGGAGGTCCTTTTTACATTGGAATTGGCATGTGATTGATCTGCTCTCCTCATGCTGTCCATGACGGATAGATTTTTTCTAGTAGGACTGGTTAAGGAGTTCAACGACTTTCTTGGACTGCCAAAAAAGACAAATGGCAATTGATTTTTTGTCTTCTTTGGAGACGGTGATGTCTTTGGAGAATCCGGTTCAACTACTAACATGCCTTCATTGGTAATGACCCCATCATCTCCACTGTCTGAATCTAAAATTTCAACATCTACTTTCTGCTTTTCGTGTTCATCTTTTTCATTATCCCAGGAGCCTAAAATCATGTCATAATCAAAGCTGTTTTCCCTAATATCCTGAAGAGCATTGTTTTCAATATCACAGCCTGAATGTTTATTATCAGTTAAAACACTTTCAGTCCATTCCTCTTTACTGTGATTTTCAGAGTCTTCATCCATTCTATCCATTAAGACAAAATCTTCCTCCTGTCCTTTCTTCTGCAGACTATGGGAGTCTAAAACACTGTCAATTGAGTCACGTCCAGAATCTGAATTCACATCATAATTCAAAAAGGATAACTGTTTTTTCTCTTGCTCTTCAATGGGCATCATATTTTGATAATCAGAGGATGTCCCAGGTGTTTTGTTCATTTTTGATAGTACTTCTTCATCAGTCAAACCCACAAATGTGTCATGAGATCTTGGACTGATTGCTGGTATTTCTACCCTATTTTTATCCATGGAAGAATCACAACTGACAGCGTGACTAGAATTCTGGGAGGATAACGAACCCTGTAAAAACTCTTCTAGGTCACTGTCATCAGTGTCGTCTGCCTTTTCATTCTGCAAATTGCCTGACATCTTCCTCTGTCTCTGTGTTGCCATAATGGTGTATAATTCCTCCATCTCTTCCTCTTCCCTCTCCTTATCCGCTTCCTCTTCATTATCTTCTTCAGCATCAGTACCACTTCTATCTTCATTTGATCTGAGGTCATCTTGGTCAACAGCGCCATCTTTTGAATTAAAATCTTCTTCATGCCAGACTTCCTTCAGTAACTTTTTAATGTTGTCCTCAGATGTGCTTGAACCACTCTTCTTATCAGTTGCCATTATTTGATCACATGCCTCCATTAACTCCTGTAGATGAAACCTACAAAGGAAAACGCTCAATGATAAAGAGGTGTATTTTATCACGTGTAAAAAGTAAATTGTGTACTGGTATTTATTACAGAACCAAGACAGATATAACAAAGCTTGGCAGGACAGCACACAAAGAAATGATACTTTGAATTAACAACATCCCATTACTAAGAGTAGCCTATTAAGGAAACATAGTAAATATGGTTCATAAAATCAAAGCCACAAAATGGAGTACTATAACATTACTTTCTTATTGCATCAAAAAAATTTTTTTTGAGGGAGGGACTTCCTTCACATTCAACTAAATTATGTGATACTTTTTCTACTCAAGCTTTACCAGCACTGATAACATACTAACCTTTTAGCAATATCACAGACTTGAGGTACAACCTGCAGGGCAATGTCCACCACACCTGTGTACAGATACCTGACCACACTGGACACCGCTGACGTAGTAAAAGTGGACATATCTAACACTGGCCCTGCCTCAGTGTGGGAGACATGCTAAAAATATACAATATACTGACATCAAATAGTGGCAAAGAACTATAATTGACATAATAGCATACTGCAGTACTAAAAAAATGCATCTCTTGGAAGCTTCATCTGTAGAGGCATCCAAAACGATCCCACTTCTGAATCAGTTATTTTGTAATATGTTAAAAGGGCAAAGTGAAGAATTCTTCAACTTCCATAACTAAACTACCTTTTTTACAGTGAGTGTTAAAAAACATAACCCTTCACACATTGTGATCAATCATTGATAAACCTATTACAATCCACACTGACAAGAAATGACAGAGCCCAAGCAATACCTTATACATGACAGGAGCTCTCACAGCCAGCATCATACAGTGCCCAGGCAAACTCCCATCAGAGCACCTTATGGTAATGTCACTCAGCTCAACCATACCCATCAGCCTCCCTAGATCTTCCTGGAGCTTCACAAGGTGCCTGCAAAGATGAGGACCATGATCCTCTTCTTCCTCCTCCTCCTGATCCTCCTTGGGGTCCTCACAGAATCCCTGGCTGCTAGTTGGGAGGTTTATTGGTGAGGAGGACTGGGCTGCTAGTTTGGCCAGTACTACTGCAGTCTGGGTGAGGGGAGGTGTGTCCTCTTGCTTATCCTCATCTTCCTGAAATATTTAACGACTTCAATAACCAAAGTCACTTTTTTAAGTATATGCATGAGCACAGTCTGAACTACAGTCACTTCTCTTATTGGATGTATAACCAAAGTCTGAACTTAAGGAACTTTCTAATTGGATGTATGACATAAGTCCCACCATTCAATACAAAATGACACTCATTAGCCATGACAAGTGTGATACAATGCCTACACACTTCCACTGCTTCTACTCTCTACGAAATGATTCTTAGACTACCCTTATATGAGAGGGCAAATGATAAGTTCTCTGTCATCACTAAACAGAGTCAGCAAGAATGTTTACTATTCATATAACCAATTAAAAGTTTTTAAAAACTATTGTCAGTATTTTAAAGTCAAATTTCTTCTCAAAGGTTAAACTAAATAATCAAAGCTGGTGAAATACATAAACACTGACCCACTCAAAAGGAGTAGTAGGTAGAGGCCATTTTCACAAATGAGAAGTCTATTTTGGATTTGCAAATTGCAAATTAAAAGCCAAATTTTATTCAGTACCTTTTTATCAAAATTTTGTCCTTTGTATGCAGGTGAGGATCTAATTTACAAGCTCACAATCAGTATATAGACAACCAAACAGTCTACATTACCTCTTTTATCATTTGCCCAGACAATGACACCCTGCCTCTCAGTTTTTAATTAAGTCTATTTTATTGGTGATAAGATGAATAGAAGAGATCTGAAGAGTGGATTTTACTTGAAAAAAATGCACCACTAAAAATGGCTTTACTTCTTTTCCATTTGTTTTTTTACATATATATCTTTGTGTTCTGTTATATACTGTAAGGCATTATAAAAAGACCTATGCTACAAATATGAATGCATCACTGAAAAGCAAATATAAAGTTGCTGGGTTATCTAAATTTAAAACTCACTTTCAAATTAAACCAATTTTAAATTATTAATAAATAAAATTTATTTAAAATAATGAAGAAATAACAGAAAATGAAAACAATAAACTCACTGTAATTTGCATTATAACACCTTTATCCTTTTATTCATGCAGTGATAAAATAAATAATTTATCCATCAAAATTCAGCTACAGAAACCTGAACTATTTGTTGAATCAATCTAACAATCAACACATTAAAAATTCTGAATTGCATACACAATCAATCATTGGTCAATTGAGTATTTCAACAATNAGGGATCTCCGACATCCTCCTTAGCTTGCTCCCAGCTACAACTTTGCAAGGAGAGATAGGGGGCATCAGGGTGCTCACATAGTAGGTCTCTCTGGGCTTCTCACTGCCATCCAACTCCAAGGCAGTCATTGTCCACAGCGACTGAACCTTATGGGTAAAATTCACAAATTACCAATTTTTCAAGTTATTTCAGCCTGGTCTCTTTTGCCAGTTATATTTCAATCCACGCAACTCCATAGCATGACCAGTCTGTGATGTAAGCACTGGTGATACACTAAATGCCAGTAAAACTGAAGATGGGTGAAGTAACTTTTGAAAATCCATTAAGCCCAGGTGGACCTTGGTAATAATGTGGACATTGCTGAAAATTTCAGGATTTTTTTTTTCATTTAATATAATAGGCATGCAAACACACACTGCATGGCTTTAAACAGCTCCTATCACTCACCTGTTGGCTAACACTATGTTGTATTAATCTCAGCACTTTGGTGTTGGCAGCTTTCAATTTGCTGTCAGGCAGTTCCAGAGTGGGATGCACATCATCACTGACAGCATCCTAGAGGACAAATAAGTATGGGAAAAACAAAAATAAGTAATAACACTCAAGGTTAAATAAATATTTTAACCAGTGGCAGAAATATAGTTTAGATTCCAGTTGCTAACTTTGAGAATTATTATCTAGCAACATTGTAAAATATCTTTGTCAAAAATGAACGATGGATTAATCAAAAAGTCAGATTTTGATTGTGTTTACCTGTTCTTTATGAAGCACCATATTAGCAGCTCTGTTGGCCAACCTTTCCTGGATTTTTTCATGGCTCTCCAGCAGCAGCGTGTTAATAGGTTCATCTCTAAAAGGATACATTCAAAAATGTAATAAGCATTTGCTGCCAATAACATTTTTTTCTTAGTTTCTAATACCATTCTTCTTACAATGAAATTATTGTAGATTTTTTTAAGAGTTCAACATTTACTTAATCTGTACAATTCTCAAGACTGGTGGGTTTGGGTAACTTTCAAATTCAATAAAAACACATTTGAATAGCTTAATATATGTCTTTCTTTAAGTCCTATCTCCTATGGTATTTTTTCTCAAGGTTGCCCAAAGATGAAATAAAGAAGAATTACAATGTGGTGCTTGCATAGCAAATGAAAACGGAAATTACTTTTTTCCTTATTCTAATATGTTGCATACCTCTTTTTCTTCCCTCTTTTTTTCTTTTCCATTCCATCCTTGTAAGGCTTCAAGGGCCAATCAATCAAAGCACTACTGCTAGCCCCTGTCATATTTTCTGACTGCTGCTGCTGCTGTTTTTGGTCAAGAAGAGAGCGAGACAAAGCGATGGCAACCTGGGTGTCTTCATCTACCTGCCTAGAAGTACTGTAATTGGAAAGGGTTACTGTAAAAACTGTGGTCAAATCAGCCTAAACCTGCAGTTGTGACAAAGAAAAGTAAAACGAGGAATGTCTTTCTTGAAAAAGAGACTTTTTCTTGAAAAGAGAGTGTGTTGGTACAGAAGAGTATAAGCTATCAAGGTTTTACTCACCTTGTTAGTTCTGTAATGTTTGTATTGGTTTCTGTGCTTGTGTTCTTTTTCCTTCCTCTTCCCTTCTTTGGTGGCCTAGAATCCAGTATGAGATTTAGAAATCCAAAACTGTTTAATGCAGAGTATTTTGGTCCCTTATACATATCTAATCTATAATAATAATAATAATAAACTTTATTTAAAGAGGGTAAAACATGTTAAGAGCACACACTTATCATACACATGGTCCTCTAGAATATCTATATTGATAATAGCTAAAATAAAGAGAAAAATCATTCTGCAATTAACAAGTGAGGACATATTCTCATTATTTCAAAATCCTAGAGATCCTTACTTACAAAGCATCAGGTGGAACTATCCCAGCATTCAACAGTTGCATGGCTTCCTCCTGTTGTTTCTGCACTATTGTTACCAGCTGTGTTGGTGCTATGCCGAATTTGGTTGAACACTTCTTCAGGTGGTTTCTTCTAGCCTGCAATCAAATCATTCACAGCACACGTTCTTTTTGTTTAGTTTTCATACAAATACATAAATAAGCTTCCTTGAATTGATGGCACAATCATAATGGTTTCTCTTTTAAATTTGAATATACATGTTGTATATTAAGTAAACTGGAGTTGTGACATTCTTTACAGGCCTTATAAACGGATACGACATTTACCAACACTACCTGCTGATCTTTTACTTTCACCAACACCCATATTAGCCACAAATTAAGCATTCCTAGCATTAACGTTTATCCGCTACATTAGTGTTGGTTAATTCATTGGTAAATATGGGTGTTAGTGCTAAAAGATCTACTGGTAGTGTTAGTAAACACCTTATCCATTTATAAGGCCTGGATTAGATCAGCAATGACAATAACATCAATCACGGTTCTATTTTTTATTTATTCTTTCATTTATTTATCCTTTCATCATTACACTTACATTTTGTGTTTTCAAGTGCTGACCACAGATTGGACAATTTAGTACTGCATCCTTTGCCTTGGAGAGTTGCTCTGCTTGTAGCTTCTCTTCTTTGGCAGCAATTTCAGCCTTAAAAACAAACAACTTATATCAGATCACAGATTGTTTTCGTCATTCATCAAAATATTTCTAAGGTACGCACAGACAGCCGAAACATTGATGACTGAAAGAACAGTAATTTTCTAAAGATTATTATCAATGTTATGATACCAGTGTACTAGGTAAAATGAAGCTTGAGGTCTAGGTACATACTGGGGTGCAAATTCTGATAAATGCTTTAAATTCTTTACTTTTGTTAAAGAAAATATTTGAAAAAAAATTTTAAGTGTTAATTCGGTGAAAAAATGACTTGGATGTGCAAAATATTAAAAGACTCCCAAGCTGTTTTAAACTGTCAATAATATGAAATACACAAATACCTTACACTATTATAAAAGCAAAATTAAGGGAATGTATATTTTTTAACAACTTTTTATGAATTGAATGTAAAACATTATTTGACTGAAATGCATTATATGCCAGCTTAACCCTAAGTATACTCCTTTTTTTTTTTTTTTTTTTAGTAATTTGACTAATAAGAATTCCCTTTAGTTACCTTATCAGCACATCTATTGACATGTTGGAGACGTCTATGTGAATTGAGTTTTGAGAGGTCCTTTTGACAGAATTGACAGAACAAAAAATTTTTCGTCTGTTGCTTTTTCCTCTTTCAATTTTTCCTCTTCCCTTTTCTGGAGTTGTCTGGCAAGGGTTTCATCAGATTCTTCATAAAATTGGAAATCAAGATTTTAAATCAAAATCGGTGCTCTTGAAAAATTTCACAAATCTCAGTTTTTCCAACATTTTATTTCTCAAGCTTAATCTTTTTTGTCAATAAATAATAAAAATGACTAAATTAAAAATGATATCTTGGGTAAAAGCAAGAAAATCGCTAGGTAGATATTGAACAATTCGATTCATATTCAGTTGGTGTGTGCTGTATATGAGATAACAGACACTTCTGGGTTGTAACCGAGTATATTAAAGTTTAAAATCAAGAGTCGTCAAAATGTATCAAACAGTTTTTAAGTACATCCTTCTACCCCCATTTTTCATTGACAACCAATCAAATAAATGCTTTCTTTAGACTAATCATTTTCTAGCTTTTTATCATAATAATAAAGACGTCACGAACCTTCTTGGTCATGTAGCAGTGATGCAGTGTCAGTTTTATGGTTTCCGTAGGAAGTTCTCATGCACTGTAAAATATGTTCACGGAACTTGTCGAGCTCTACAACAGCTTTACAAGTGGGGCATCCTTTTCCCTGGTATTCTTCTTCACCATCAGATTCCTTTTTATCAGGATCAGATTCCGGCTGCGTTTTCTCTTGCTCACTACGTGACGGTTGCTGCTCATTTTGATCAGCTGATGGGCATTTTTGTATCTCCTCATTTTGTTGCTTAAGAACAGTTTTTGAATTTTTGTTTCTCGTGTCAACACCATTCAACTCAATATGTTCAATTTCAGTCTGTCCATTGACTGAAGTCTCTGGAATAAGCAGGTCTTCATTTTCATTATTTGAAATAGCTTTGGTGGCATTTGAGCTTTTGTTTGCAGTAGTTTGAAGGATTGCATTTATGTCACCTAAATCCTCATTTTCTTTTCCAGCAAGTCCATCCCTTTTACTTGCAGTAATAGTGCTTCTAGACCCCCTCTTTAAGGGTTTTGCATTTTTGTTTTTTGGCACAAATTTAACATTCAATGTATCATCTTTGAAATCATCCGTTTGATTTAGAACTGTGTCATTTTCAAAGATGTCAGTGAACAGTTTTAATTTGCTAGTACCTCTGGAGCCTTTGGCCGAAGATTTTTTGGCCAAACTCAACTTTGCTTTCTTAACTGCTTTCTTGGCTTGTTTTTCTTGAGGTGTGGTGCCAGTTTTGCACAGTGATGGGCTCTTGGTATATTTTGTATCTGCAGAAATCTCACCATTCGGCATAGTTTGTATCACATCTTTGTTATCTCCTAAACCTAAAGAACTACTTAGTATTTCCTGACGTCCAACATCTTTATACTTTTCAATTTTGCCTATGTCTTTGCATTGATGGGCAACACAATTTGTTTCCCTTTGCACCGACAGTCCATCACTTTCTTTTTTATTACCAGATGCCAAAGAACGAAGACTTCTTCCACTTCCTCTCCTTGATTGAGCAACTTCACAGTTCTCGACCTCAGCTCGGTCAATACATATCACAACTGTTTTAGTAACCCTTGCCTTTACTTGATCATTGTGAAGTTTGGCATACCCAGAATCTGCAAACACTTTTGATTTGTTTTCAGCACTCCTGGTATGCTTGTATGGTGAATAATCCATCAAATCAGATTGTTTTTTCAACAGTCGATTTCATTCCAATTGAAAAATCTGTTTCTGTCACAAATGAATTCCTTATTCAATTAGCCTTCCCACTGTAAATTTTGTCATGTTAAGTCAAGAATGAATTTTGAATTTAAGCAGATTTCATGTCTGGTCACAAAATAGAGGTAAAAAAATTAATTCAGTGTTTACCAACTTGAAAGTTGTAACAGTAACGATAACATCTTTGTATCATCAATCATGTCTCTGAGGTATATTTACTCCTTTTTATCAACTGCTGGTGTCTCTGAAGGACCATCCTGAGATTCAGGTAAGTTTTCACTTGTCTTAGATGTAACACGCTTACTAAGGCGCTCCCTTCTTAGTCCTTCTAAATACTGAAGACGCTTTTCATATGCAGCCTCCTTCAAATCTGCCTCTGTCATCTCTGTTGGGCTATTTTCCGCTTTTTTCTTTGCATACCTCCTATCAGAAAATGAGAAAAAAATTACAGTTTAATTGTCATAACAATACATTTTTCACACATGTGAACTTTTGCTTTGGCTGGCAACCAACCTTATCACTCAGAGGTCCTTTTTCTTCTCTGGACAAGCAAAGTACGACTTGAAGTAAGATGTAAGCAAATGTTTTGTACCCCATGACTCTCAGCTACCAGTATGGTGCTTGTTGAATGTCTCTTTACAATCACTTACAACTAAATCTTTCCTGTGTTATTATTATGTATAATACTGCATATCAGAAAACGTAATAAGGAGTGCTAACACATAGATGAATTTTCATATAGTATCACTTCTAAGTCACTTGCCACTGAACTGAAACATGAAATCTGACATGTATATGCTTGCGATATATCTCAAACATGCTTCTGACATACAGAGGTTTAAAATTGAAAAAAAAAGTATGCATGTAAACTGGACCTAAGGCTTAGTGCAGGGTATCTACACACGTCCCAAGATTGACTTAAATTAAAAGTAAAATCAAGGGCATATTCAGACTGCAAACGTTTAAATTATTATATATAAAACATTTTTATGCTGTTTGCATATATTTGACCTTGACATCTGCCCCTAACCGTCAGGTGCTCACTGATGTAAAGTGTTGTTTCAAAAATGAACAGATCTACATTATGAAACCAACAAGTCACGTTGTAGTGCAAGTGCTGCAAGGGTACCCTTTTCAGATGTCTTTAAATAAATTGACATGCAGTCATATGATTCATTGCCACCCTGTGATGAAATCTCAAGGATGATTACATGGCTGGTAATTGCTTGCATAACTGCTTAGGCCCAAGCCACTTAACAGGCCCAAGTCAAGTCCCCAAGAAGGCTGATTGCTGTGATTTTAATTACTCGCTCTTATGTGACTGATAAAAATACCTAGCCCCTTATGTCATAAGTTATGAATATAGCTTGTTACTTTAGACTGAAGTTAACTGAGGAATCTACTGTAGTAGCTCCCTACAGAGTGGGTACAATGCCATCTGTGAGCGTGCAGATTTAACTACTTTCAACTGGCCAAAAGTCACAGGGTGGCCTTTTGAAATTTTCCTATGATATCTGCCACCCTAGGGGATAGAGGGTACTCCAAGGGGGTACTTACATAGCAATTAAGCCGCTGCCAATAACGAGAAGAGCTGTAGAGCCGTTTACCAACCATCTCAGAATATTCAATGACCTACTTAAGTTTTTTACTCCCTTGTTATATTCGTCCCTTATAGTCATATTTATTAACTGCTCTCGATCATCAATTCAACTAACTGTCTACAGGCAGTTTTGTCCATGTGCGGCAATCTTGCTCTAAATTCGGTCCTGGGCATGCGCAGTAAATTCAAAATTCACCGACTTCCGACACACTCAGTATAGCACTTATCACAACTAACACAGCAAGAAGGACCTACTCTGATTAGACCGAGTTCACTTCTCTAAATATTCGGAAATTTGACATGGACATAAGAGTTTCTCTTTTTTCCTTTTCTCTTTCTTTACTTCTTGCTATTTTCCTTTTTCTCTTTCTTTACTTCTTGTTATTTAACAAAGGATATGACACTGCTTCAAATGTGATAGAGTAAAATAAGATAACAATATAATAATAATAATAATAACAACAATAATAACAATAATAGTACGTTGTTGATGTTGTTGTCATTATTATCATTATTATTATTATTATGATGATGATGATGATGATGAAAGAATTGGTTGAATATGAAATAATAAGTTAATAGGTGAATAAATAAATGAATGGATACATTAACAGATGCAAAGGCCTACATAAAGAATGGAATGGAATTACGTACAAATCAAACAAAAAATAACAAATCGATTTTAACTGTTTTTAAAGCTATACATGTATATGTAGGTTATTAAATGAGATGTATCAACTAGGAAGCCCTCTATGTTTACTCCCCCCCCCCCCCCCATACGCTTATAAATGCTTATAAATGCTTTTCTGTTGCGACGAAAAGACTAAACCTTTTTACTAGCCCTCGCAACGCTTATACAATTAATTAATTAATTAAATTTTATCGAGGAAAACGAGACAAAAACAAGTAGGCCTCTAATATCCATTACTGTGCCCCATGCATTACAGTAAAATCATCCTCGTCGACTATTTTACTCTTAAATATGTCCACTGACCCCCCCTTAATTTCTAGCAAAATCTTGGATCCGCCGTTGAGTCGTGCAGCATTCCCTAAAATCTGAAAATCATGAATACAGCGCGAGTCACCTCTCTTGTATATAGAGTCCTATGCATATAGACTTATAAAATGTTTAAGTCACGTTTGGAAAGTTGGTGCAGTAAGCCGAAATATCCAACAGGGTCAGCTTACTTTTTGTGTACATATGCATAAATGTAAGTTTATTTTTTGTGTACAAATGTACATAAATCTAAGCTCTTCGATATTCGCATGAACAAGGGATTTGTGCGCGTGGAGTTATTGCCGAAATGGATCCATTGCTTTGATTTGAAACGAATATATATATATATATACTAAGGTCTATCATTGACCCAGTTTACTGGGTCCCACATGCAGGGTCTAATTCTGGTAACGTGATCATTCACTTGTGTGGTAGAGACGGTAGAGAGTCGCCGGTGTCAGTTGAGACCTAATGGAAATCAAACACTAGGTCTAGGCTATATAATAAAGTAGGACCTATTGGTATGTTTTATATACGTGTAGTTTGTAGTCATTGATTAATCCATTAAATAACCATATTGTCAATAAATGTAATTATTTATTAAATGAGTCTATATGACTTATTTCTATCCAGTTCACTGCTGAAAATAAAGGTGACAGTTCTTATATAGTCCCCCATTATCCAACGTAAGCCGAAGAGGAAGTGTTTTTGATAGCACCTAATGCCGATAAGACTGTGGGTTTTAGGAATACAGATATTTACAGGAAAATCAGAGGCTGGGAAAGACATCGCAAGAGAAAAGAATAACAACTTATTTATTTGCAGAGATAAATATTTGAATGATTCTCCGGTATAAATGTCGTTACATAGGCCTATATATGCCACTTAAATATGTTTTACAGGGCGATGTACAGTGCTCTGGCGGATGGACGACTAACGGCTTATTCAGAGAGACGAGGGCAAGCCAGAGAAAATCAAGCCAGTGCGTTTTGACCCAAGAGTAGGGAGAGATGCTATCTGTAAACGGTAGATACAGGTAGTTTATAGGTCTATAGCAATCGAAACAAAACGTTTCCTTTCATTTAGTCACGGCAATGTACTTGGTGCCATAGCTTGAACCCTCCGGTCAATATTGGGATAGAGATGATACGATTCTTTCACTTATCTTTATCGGAAAATTGCGCGGTAAACAAATCAAATGGGTTGGTTTGAAAATCACTTTTTGGCATATTAAATGAAAGACCTTTGCAACTCGGAGGGAATATAACGGGTTTATTATGAAAATATATTGGCGTTTGTTTAGTGATATAGTAACCGTTTCTTTCGATTATACCATTATTTATACCATCACTATATCAACGATTAAGTTTATTACAAAATTAAGAGCCATCAACCTTGAGTTACCCTGCGGTGCGTCTAGCTTTATCTGTGAAATTTTGTACCCACGGTAGGGTTGCGCGAAATTACCGCATCTTTAAGATGTTGATAGTTTGATAAACGTTACTTGGTAAATATCTTTATGCCATAACCTCTGCCCTGTAAACGTCTTGAGTCAACTTATGGGTATCTTTTAGACGCCCTTTGTTGATTAAACGCCAGTAATTTCGCTTCCTTCCTAACCCTCCTTTTCCAAGGTTGGATTTCCGGACACCGATATACGCTGTACGAAAACAGGGGCTATAATCCTTCTTGTCCCTTCCCAAAAATAGATTAAAAAAATGAAATATAATAAAATAAAGACTAAAATACATAACATAAATACATTTATAAACTCTGCCCCCTCCACTCTTTATCCGCAAGTGTGGACAACGGTAGCTTCGTAACTTAATGTGTGAGAGAGAAAGAAAATGTTCGAGTGCAGTTTGAGGGAAGCACGCATTTTAAATAAAAAGTCACTTTGTTATATACATAAATTATCAATTTGTACATGATTAAACTGATAAAAGTACATTAAGATCATAAATTTAAAGTAGATGTCTTAAAAGCAAGCTACCGGTAGTGTGGTGTGAAAGAAAAAGATGAAAGAAGAGTTTAAATGTGCTTATTTAGTTTGACAAAAGAAGATACGATTTATTCATATGAACTTGCGTTATCACTCACAATTCAATGAGATTAAGATATATTCGAAATATAATAATATCACAAATATTTAACGGCAGTAAAAAATAATATATGAAATCACACAAGCTTATATATATTATAAATGTCCATGTAAAATACTATGGGCTGTTTTTATACATGATTTTAAAACAAAATTGAATTGATCGATTAACATATATCTGAATACTTTTCATTTAGCTGACATTTTCATGGTTTATATGCAATATCTGATCCTTTTCATATTGCAGGAGAAATCACACAGTCAGTAGAGAACGGTCCAGAGATCAATCAACTGGCGGGTGGGTAGAGAATTTCCCCGTGGTTAATACTCGGTAATTGGACGAGGAAAAAATCTCCCAGTATGGCACCCTTAGTCTGCCTGCAAGTCACGCAAGCCACCGTGGTCATCAAATATTTGGTTGCCATCGTGTTATCACCGGGGGATTTAAAATTGAACCTAAATTCATGCGCGTCGTTAACTTATTAATAACACGCCATTCACGGGGGGAAAATCAAAGCTGTCATCGCTTGGGTAAGGCCATTTTAATATATGTCCGAAACTTAATTGTTTAAAACCATCTCCGTTGAGTTAGCTCAATTAGTCATGCGCTAAATTGTTGTTATGGAGATACAGGTGCGCAGAGCGCGGAGGAATATTTTCTCACGGGGAGTGCACGCGGCTTATTAAAATCCCTGTTGCTATCCAAGAGTTCAAAGCAGAGCTGTCAAAGTTCAGAACGATATACCCGGAGGGAAGCGATTTTTGCTACAATCTTTTTGTAGACATCCGTCCAAAATGAGAGAGATAGTGCATTTACAGGCTGGCCAATGCGGCAACCAGATCGGAGCTAAGGTTAGTGATTTTTTCCTAAGGTCAGAGAAAATGTTGTATTTTGCTAAACCAGTCATTAAATAACTCAGTTGCAAATCCCATTTAAGCAAGTGCCTTCGATAACATAATACTGGGGTCTCAAATTTACTACAAGTCGAACACTAGCTATTGATAAGGCTGTATAAGTATATTGATTTAGCGCGATTTTCCAAAGTTGAATCGAGGAAAGTTATGTTATTCAGACCATATTTCATCGTCCACTGCACCCCTTTTGTACATGTTTCAAGACGGCATTTTTTCTGTTTGACCATCAGCAAGTGGGCATTGAACCAAGAGGAAACTTCTTATTTATTGGCGTACATTATACATAAAAAGAAACAAAAAGAGGGCAGGTTTGTTTGTAAATATCACACTCTCATTATATTCCAAGAATGCGTCTAGCTGTGTGAGGGCGTTTTGAATATACTCAATTGTTAATTTTATTATGAAATGCAATGGATAGTGTTACACCTGTTATTGTTATAACAGTATGGTATCGCACGCTTTAAAAGTTTATTCCAGGGGTTAAACTTTACAACTCTATTGTTCGAATCGTGTAAATATACCGGTAAGTGTGAAGCTTATTGTTTGATGTTTTTGTTTATTGCTCGATAATCGTTTCGCACCGAGGGTCTGTTTTGCAGGTCTTGGTGCCAGATCCAAGGTATTGTGACCGATATGAGAAAATGACCAATGTTAATCCTTTGGCAACAAATTTCTTATGTCCATAGATTACACAATGGCGGCGCAATTTCAAGTCAATGATTAAGTGATACAGAGGTTGGCGCGTTGTTGATAGCATAATTTAACAGACAGCATATCTATCTTCGGTTGCTATTTACTTCAACTGAAAACTAAAATGTACATTAAACCAATATTTGTCACTCTTTAAAAGCCACGTGCATTAACATTATTCTTCCTTTAATATCAAAAGCTTAGCATATTTGAATTTGTTGAAATTAAATCAAACAGTTACTTTTCTTGGCTGCCTAAGAGGCAGCAACGACGAAGCTTGGGCATTCAGCTCCTTCCATTTGAGCTACTTTCGGGTAGCATTACAAATGTAATCCTTTATCAATTAAACACTTAGGAAGTTTGAAGAGCAGGACTTCTATAACATTTAGATATGTGTTAATCTTAATGTGAGACTTCAGTATTTGTTGTTCCATGTTCTTTTATTATATAAGCAGTCCGTTAACGTCTTATCCCTAGTACTTGAAAAGGGGAATAATTACTTTACTCGGTCAACCTTTGTTGCAGAAAATCCTGCTAGGAAAGGGTCTAATATTGCCCAAACGGATAATCGGCATCAATTAAGCACTCCAGTAACAATGCCACGTTTACTTTTTCGATTTACGACAAACAAATCGTTTCATGAAAATATACGGTGAATGCATTTGCTTGTAGTAAAGTTGAGTTACTCACAAAAGATCGGGGGGAGGGGTATAGCAGGGGCCGTTGATTCAACAGTACATTTCACACACGTATAAGATTATTACGATTTAGTAATATCAAAGACAAAAAGTAAATGTTGATTTTACCAATTGAAAGCTGTGATTTTATTACTTTTTGTTGCTGCTTAACGACTAAGTTTAACATAGCGACACCCTTTTCAAAGCGAGGCAGTCGTAAACAAACTGGGTCGTTATGATAACTTATATTGATGCAAAATAATTGTATATCAGAACTTTAGCCATTTCAATACTATAATACAATCCAACTCTGGGTATTCAAAGAAAAATGTGGATGACATATCTAGAAAAAAAAAAGAAAAGATTTTCGATATCATTTGTAAAAATTTACCATTACATGGAGGTTGAAAATAAGTTCTCGTCATTGTATGTTAAGGTATGCATTCCACTCACTGAAACGACTAACCATAAAAATTACAGTACACAACCATACACACAAAAAGAAAAAGAAAAGGAAAAAATAATAATGCTCGAGGCACAATGTTCACAATGAACACGGTATATTAAACTAAGGCAAGCTCATTTAAAGGACTGACCTATCTACATTATTTCCATCGATTAAAAGAGAAACCAATGACACGGAAATATATAGTTCTTAACAAATCAGGATTATTGTATTGATTTCTTTTAATAATATTGCGCATTATTCTCATTGACTTTTACATGGGGAAGGTCTGTATCGAGATGGTTAAGATAGTGCGTTTCTAAGCTTTAAGCTCTTTTTCTCAATTGTAGCCTAGGCAAGGTCATGTTTTGGGTCAGAATGGGAGTAGAGGAAAATATCCAGGGTATTTCGGTTAATTTTTTTTATATTTGCGGGGAAATTGTGACGTAATTAAAGAGTGGTGCATAAAGAATTTCTGGGACTCGAGGAAAGGGTGGCTTACAGGACATATTCATGTTTTCTTATGTCATAGTATTTGTGGCAAATTATGAATTAACCATGTTATATGAGTTTGACTGTCACAAGCACCCCTTCCCCAAATCTCCCTAAAGTATTTTTCATGAATTTATATTTATGGTTTAAATGACATACGTATTTCTAAGAGATTATTATGCCACAATTGCACAAATGTTTTTGTTTTGACAAAAGAACGACTGTATTCTGAGGCAGATTCATGTTTTAATACAAGAGCAGGGGAGGGAGAATGTTAATCGCCTCTGCCCTGGTAGATTTTAAAAAGGTATTAATAGCTTCTTTTGACAGCATTTTTGCCTTTTTGGTGTCCCTTAGTATGTGTGTGTCTTTTTCTTCTCTTTTGAGAGGGAATGGGACTTAATTTGCAGCTTTCTTTCTTTCTTTTTTTTTTTTTTTGGAAAAAGGGGACGGGATGGCCTCCTTTCCCCCCTTGTGATTTAGTTTGTTTTAAGACGTCATGGTATAATCTGAATGGAAAGCGATTTTTAAACATTGATGGTATTTGGAAGAAACTACGATCGCGATCTCTTGCTGAAGGCCATCGATCACCGTCTAGTCCATCATTTTAAAATCTATTAAGATTCGTCCCTTTATGCTGTGTTGCCATGCCTTCGCTATGTGTACACGTTAACGGTCATTTCTTGTTGATTTAAGGTCAGCGGTTATCTTGTGCTGTAGTATTTTAATTAGGGCCAAACTTATCGATGAATGTCGTAAACAAAAATGGAGAATTATTTACAACTGTGTCTATAGAGTTATCGATAATGCTAAGTTTAGGAATTAATGGGGGAGATTATCGTTTCTACTAGGTTACCAATGGTATATCCCCATTAAAAGTGACATGAATGTGGTTCAAGTTAATTATCCTAGGCACGTTTAAACCTACTGGAAGGGATTGCGAGTTAGAGCAGCATATCGCCTCGAAAATCAGACTGGGATCCACGTAACTCTGGCCCGTTTCGAACCAGCGTGAGTGAACGGGAGTTAGAAATCTGTTTGATCAGTTTCGATGACCACACCCATGATTAAAAACGCATACTCTCACACTTAAAGTAATCTTATGATATAAGGATCGCCGTAACTGTAGCAGTAAAAAAGAAATAATGAGGGGATTTTGAAAATGCGTTTCTCAAATTCTTTTTTAAATGTCAGAAATGAAATAATGTAAAAAAAATATAGAAAAAAATAACGTAAATCTGATACCTAGAAATACTGCTAAATGAAAATAAGTTATTCTAAAAGAAGCATACCACTGGTCAGAATTCCATTCCACATATTTTATGTATTTATTATCACTGTACCTAACCCCCGGTCTTCTGAAGTGAAAGGAACAGGAAATTAAAGGAAGGAAAACTTGCTACACAACAAACGAAAAGCTGATCCGCGGTTTGTCAATATGTGCACCGCAAACATGGCGGAACCGTGACTCCACTCTCTTGCAAAGACATATTGCGTAATACATTAACCTTCCAATCAGTTTGGCATACAAAGACATCACAATATCAAGAGCGAGCACGAGAGAGACGCTCAGCAACTACCCAACAGGGCCAAAATAACGGTTAATTTGTTTGAAGAAGGTTTTTATCAAAGTAACTGGCTCATGAGTGTCAAAGCCAATAAAACAACGGCTGATTTGACGGAAGGAGGTACGGATCTAAGCAACGGGCCCAAAAGTACCAACTCCATTCAAACTTTATTTTTCCAATAGCATCATTACAGTATACACTCATATGTTATTGCCCAAATATGAATGCTGCCAAACAGGTCTACAAGCCGCAGATTTCGTTCTTCCATCTCTTCTGACTTTTTGCAAATGGGCAATTTCCACCGCAGTTGCTCTAAGATCCGGCCTTTATTCCCAATTTTATATATATTTCAGTTCTGGGAGGTGATATCTGACGAGCACGGCATTGACCCGACTGGCACTTACCATGGTGACTCGGACCTACAGCTGGAGAGAATCAACGTATATTACAATGAAGCCACGGGTACGTTGTCGCTTATTTTGCACCCACCCATCTCTCCCAAGTCAATATTATATCAGGAACTTTACAAGTTGTGAATCTGGAAAACCTGTAGTCTTACATGGTATCAATAAAACTATTAATAATTACATGTACATGTATGGATTGATTATCAGGTTTTTAGAGTAATGGTAACGGGTCCGCATGCTTTTGTAATTATAAAGGCATCAATGCCAAATAAAAAAAATCGTATTTATGAAAATGATAAACGTGGAGTAAGTAACGGTCTCTAAAACATTCAGAATATGTAAATTTGTGGATTTTTCTATTTGTAAGTATTTACAGGAGCATTACATTATTTGTAGGTGGGAAATACGTCCCACGTTGCGTACTTATTGACCTGGAGCCCGGCACCATGGATTCTGTCCGTTCCGGACCCTTTGGACAAATCTTCCGTCCGGACAATTTTGTGTTCGGTGAGTACGGCATCATTTATAGGACCCTGGGCTATCATATGAGACTGACCATTCGCACAAACCTTGGTCACTGATGGCACTAACTAACCTCGTATGACCTTACTTTGTTGTAGACACAACAGAGCACGTTGGCGAGCGTTTCGTCATATCTAAATTAGATAAATTTCATGAACATTAGCTTAAATTAAATAGTCCTGCAGGTAATAAGACCATATTTGATACCATGAGGTATATACCAGATTGTATGTAAAGCTTCCTTGTAACAAAATGTACAGGTATTTCGAATACAGAGTCAATCTCAAATTCATTTGTTGAATTTTATTGGCTACTTAACGCGAATTGTCATTCAAGTAAGATCTTGACACAATAGTTAAAGCAATAAAAAGTTAAAGTATAAAGTAGATAAAATAAGGAAATGACAAAACATTGACAGTAAATGGTTGCTTGAGATAAATGCTTGCTTTGCAAGCTGCGAGAGTCTACTGAAAAATCAGCTATTTGAGGCCGTTTGCTCATTATTTGCGTTTTATTAACCCATTTGCTACGTATTTAGAATTTGGCCTATACGTTAAATTGGGTATTGTTCAGGTTTTTATGAGTTTAAGGTGAAGAGAACGTGAAAATATATACATCATTGGATTATGATGCCCGCCGTGACAGCCCGAAATGGTGCTAAACTAAATAGCGTGATCATGATTTCCATATTGCAGGCCAAAGTGGAGCAGGCAACAACTGGGCCAAGGGGCACTACACCGAAGGCGCAGAGCTGGTCGACTCCGTGCTGGACGTGGCTCGTAAGGAGGCCGAGAGTTGTGACTGCATCCAGGGTTTCCAAGTGACCCATTCACTAGGGGGAGGCACCGGCGCTGGGATGGGGACTCTACTGATCAGTAAAATCCGAGAGGAGTACCCCGATAGAATGATGAACACTTTCAGTGTAGTGCCTTCGCCAAAGGTAAAACTCCACACACACAAATGCACACACATGAGTGCGCAAATGATACTTTGATAATACGTACTTTTCATCCTGCCTTCTTTTGTAATTCCTACCACATTTCGTAATTTAATAATAATCCCTGGCCAGTTTGTTTTTGTCTTTCAGGGTCCGCAAAGTGTATTAAAGTGTGTACAGTTTTATATTCATTATTCGAAATTGTAAGCAACAAGGGTTCTCAATTGTTTCATAACAGAAACCACGATCAAAACACACTTCTAACATTAGCATCTAACTCCCAAGCAACTTTTCGGTATATAGGCCTACACGTATTTGAATTTCTTCATAAAAAAGGAAAAAAAAAACATTTTCCGTCCCTATGCTATAAACATTATCGCATTCGTTTAGTAATCCTTAACTACACTATTTTATCCTCGTGCTACCCCCTTAGCAAAATTCTGGATCTTCAAGTGTATAGGATACACTTTTTCATTTTCACAGGTGTCCGACACTGTGGTGGAACCGTACAACGCCACCCTGAGCGTACACCAGCTGGTTGAAAACACGGATGAGACGTACTGCATCGACAATGAGGCTCTGTACGACATCTGCTTCCGTACACTCAAGTTGACCACGCCCACTTATGGTGACCTCAACCATCTCATTTCCGCCACCATGTCTGGCGTCACTACTTGCTTACGTTTTCCCGGTATGAATTCTTTTAAAATCTATTATACAAATATTGAAATTTGAAATGACATGCGCGTGCTGGTTATTTATATGAATATGGTAGAGTCATTTTGCCGTACTCACAAACGCGAACTTTTCTGACGGTTACAATAAAGACATATTAGCCAATCCTCATTTCTATGTGCTGTTTTTCCTCGCTCATGTTGTAAGTTCTAATTTTTCTGTTCAATAAACGGACATGCATTTGATTTTCCTTTTGGATAACAGGTCAGCTGAATGCAGATCTCCGCAAGCTGGCCGTGAACATGGTGCCCTTCCCCCGTCTCCATTTCTTCATGCCCGGCTTCGCTCCTTTGACTTCTCGCGGCAGCCAGCAGTACCGCGCTCTCACCGTCCCAGAGCTGACTCAACAAGTGTTTGATGCCAAGAACATGATGGCTGCCTGCGACCCACGACACGGTCGCTACCTTACCTGTGCCGTCATGTTCAGGGGACGGATGTCAATGAAGGGTGAGTGGGCGTTAATGGCGTGTGCTGGCGTGGGATGGTGGGTGTGTGTTTGGGGGGGGGGGGGGGGCAGCAATGAGGTGCCTTGTGTTATTTTTTAAGTGATTTCATTCCCCTCTTTCAGCCTCCCACAAAACAGTAGACGAGTGAAACAAGACATCATGTCATTTCACCACTGGGCCGAATATACATCGTCTTTTTTTTTTTTTAACATGCCAAGCTAAGAGGTGAAGAAAAGCGTGCCAATCTTTGATAATAGCTTAAGAATATTAATTTTTTATACATGATGTACTTTTGAGTGGGCAAATTTATAAGAGGATATCATTGTGAATTGAATGTATTTTTCCTTTTTCGCACAGAGGTTGATGAACAGATGTTAAACGTTCAGAACAAAAACAGCAGTTATTTCGTGGAATGGATCCCGAATAACGTTAAGACCGCGGTCTGTGATATCCCGCCACGCGGTCTCAAGATGTCTGCCACCTTCGTCGGCAATACGACAGCCATTCAAGAGCTTTTCAAGAGGATCTCAGAACAATTCACTGGTATGTGTCGCTTAGGTTAGATTTTGTTACGTTAAGTAAATAAATAAATTGATTTGCACGTTTTCTGATTGAACATCATTTCTAAGATTGTATGGATGTAAATTATTTGTAAAATGGGTTTATGATTTTTAAATTGATGTACCAAACTATTATTACGAAAGAATTATTGTGTTGAAAGCCATACCAACCAGAGGCAATACCACGAAGTAGTGTAGAGTGAAATTTCAACTCATTATAAAATAAGATTGAGGAGTTATCAAAATAACAAGTTCGTCTTGTTGATTCTTATTTATGTGATTTACACATGTAAACGTTTCATATACACAAACATAAGTACCAGTATACTGTTTTAGGCAATCCATTAGGATGAGACCAGTTATAAGCACATTGGGCACCATAATTGTATTGTTTTTTTGTATTATTATTATTATTATTATTATTTGATATATTTCAGCCATGTTCCGGCGCAAAGCCTTCCTCCATTGGTACACGGGCGAGGGTATGGACGAGATGGAGTTCACCGAGGCGGAGTCCAACATGAACGACCTTGTTTCTGAATATCAGCAATATCAGGTGAGGAGGTTGTGGAATACTGGAAAAATGCGCAGTATTAGACCCCATTTCCATAGATTTTAGATCGATCTATCCCAGTGGGGAGTCTCACTAGATTACTGTCAGCTTAGCCGGCTACTGAAAGCTGTAAAGGGGTAATTAACTTTGGTGCGCGCTCGGCTGACTGCAATTTTGCGTGAACCCCCAACGAGTTAGGTCGATCTAAATCTTAATCCCTGGATCGATCTAAATCTCTGGGAATACACCCTTACTATTGGTAAATTTTAGATATGTCTAACATCTAAGTGCTTTGCGTTTCTTTATCGATATAATCAGTGAGTTAATTCAGTGTTAATTCTTGTGGCGTGTTTCATTGTGAGGGGGGAGGACACCCTAAATTGCGTCACTATGGGAGCGTTCCCATGAGCCCGTCGTATTAGCTGAATCGATTTAACTTTAAAGGGATTTTCGCTAAATGGCATTCAGTGTAAGTGGCTTAAATGTCTGGCACGCCTGTTCAAGCTGCTATTAGAGGGTAATTAACGATTGTCAATTACTCCCTAGTTACTCTGTGTTTTGTTTTGTTTGTGCGTGCGTAGGCGAAAGGACGAACCGGAAACATTTATTACATGCACTCACACATACAGCTCACGAAATCTGGAGGACTTTATTTCTTTATTTCCAGGACGCCACTGCTGAAGAGGAGGGAGAATTTGATGAGGAAGAGGAAGAGGAGGCATAAATTCAATTCTCATACTAAATGCCCAGTCCGCGATTTATTGTTAAAACTTGGACTAACTCCACTGGTCATTGAGTGTCAAAGGCAAATGTATTGTTTATAAAAGTATAAGATGGCCAAACTACATATATGGATTAAAGTTTTTAGAGTGCTATTTGCGAATATAACTTTTATACTCCTTATAACTTTGACCTGGGTACTATTCAATCTCGCATTTTAATTACTTCTCTGCTTTTGCGGTTTTCTAGTGCAAATTTTTTGGTGTGTGCAATTTTGTGCGACAGAAATATCTTATGAGTGAAACATCTAACCTTTAAGTTTTTAGAAAAATTGCATTTAACACATCAGGTTAACTGAAACCAAGTTAGTATATGTTTGTAACGGCAGTAAGTAGTGTTTTTATATAATGAACTGTTTTACCATGTACACTGCTGTATTCCTACAGTATTCCAGTATGTATTTTTTCTTCGCATACTTGTGGCGATATGAATGAAAAGTGTCCATTTTTTATCTTGTATATATTAAACCTTTTCCTACACTTTTTGCTTATACTGTCTATTGTTATCTGTGAGATTCTGCTGAAATGGACATAAACGACGGGGGTGGGAATAAAAACTCCAGCAAAACACAGCGCCAAAAAGTCTTAATTTCTGAGAACATTTTTTTTATTAAGAAAACACGGACAATGCGCTCGCTTCATTCCTAATTCTATTGTCAAAAAACTGTCTTTTTGTTGTTATTTTATAATTCTGTATGCAGTGTTCAGAGAGCAGACGAAGTGTGAATACCCAAAATGTTCGCTTTTTAAAATATGAATTGTTATTTGATAATGTGTGGGAAAAGAACATTTTCGTCACATCTTGAGAAGTTAAAGCCGGCATTTTTAGGGAAGAATTTGTAGTCTGTTACAAATCTATTGTATGGCACATAACCTAACTTTGTATACTATTTTAAAAGTCCTTATGCCACAGGGTCACTTGATATCCTCCCTTCACTCGACTCTGATGGCTCAATCCTATGTCTGAAATTGAATGGAATTAAAAATAACTGGAAAAATTCGCTCACAGTAAGGCAAAGCCACTGTAATCTTTTCTGTAAAACAAAAGTGTAAAGATTTTACGACCGAAGTATCCTTGACGTAGCATAAGACGTACAGTACATTCCGAGAGTGTGAAAACCGTAAAAGAACTCGCGTTGTCGGTCACAAAAATTAATCTTTTACTGTAGAAAGCAGAGAATATGCCGAAGAATGATGGAGTAAACTTTGCTTTAAACGAGCCATTAAAAGGTTTAATCTTTGCTCACCTGAATTCATCGAGTGAATGTATTCAGTTTTTATGTTCTTCTTGGTTTTACACACTGTTTTTTTCTTCGACTTAAACAGCGTGTTCTTTTTCTCACTTTTCTCTTTGACCTCGCATATTTTTAAAGAATAATTGACAACTTGTCACCAGTTGCGGACGACAAAACGGGTTTTATTATAACCACATCTTGCATTGAAAAATCAGCGGAGCGCAATGTGCTATTTATGGAATAATTACCCACAAGCGAGGGACAAGACTTTATCGCAAAACTGTGACACGTTTCGAAGAAAAACTTATTTAAGAATCCAGCTCTATAGAGAATAATTTATAAATAATAATTTTGTTACTCTCTTTTATCTTTTTGTCATAATCTAGGATTAATATTTAGGCATTAACAAGAACTAAAATGGTGCTATTCCGTAACATGTTGTGGGTGGTGGAAGTAAAAATCAGCCTGTTAAACACTATCTCCCCTTACTTTTAGATTATGTCCTTAATATCATGGAACTGTAATATTGACTCTGCTGTATCCAAAAAAGTAATAAATAAACAGCATATATTTGACTAGCATATCTTAAAATAACCAATCGAGAAAGCAGACCATGCAAGGTGTAGTTCAATACAAATGACGACTGGTTGAGAGGGCAATGTTGCCAAATGCAGACAATGAGACCTATCCGATTTTTAAAAGTAGGGTCTAAATATAATCTCATAAGTGATTGCATATGTCTTGTAAGTGAGTACGACGCGTCCATTAAATTTATGCATTAACGAATTCAAGTGTATACTACTTTATAAAGTCGATTGCTAACCGTGTTTTTTAAATATTTTTAGCTCATCACGACGTCAATTCGGGACAGTCACAACTCGCTTACGGGGACACCCTCTGTCATTATTATGCACTCGTATTCCAATGTGCTTGGTGACAGATAATTGCCACGTTAATGTCAAATTCGTTTTTTAGCCCGTGGCGAGATTACGTGCTCTGTTAGCATCATTGTTGTCGATGTCAGGCATGTGCCCTCTTTGACATGCTGGCGGCATAGTTATCTATTTTCTGGTTTATGTGGGCGAAAAAATAATGTTTTTTTCATTCCGAAAAAACTGATAAGAAGATAAATAACGGCATGTCACGAAAACGCTTCCCAGCCTACATGTAACCCTTGATGTGACAAATTTGTTTAACTTAAGGACCATCTCCACGGTGTCTTTTAGATGGAATACATGTACTAATTCGATATTAGTTTTTGTCACAGTGTGATATACGGAGATTTGAAAAAAAAAAAAAACTCAAAATCTTGTTATTTTTTTAAACACACAAGTGCACTGAAGCAACGGGAGGGAAATTATTAAAAAAAACAAACAAACAAACAAAAAAAAAAAAAACACAGCATGTGAACTTAATTTGGAAAAGACATGGACATTATGAAGACAATACAGAAGGCAACATCAAGATTGTACTTTTAAACACCAATTTTTGCGATCATATTTCCTTGGTATTTGTAAAACCAAACTTGTTTCGAACAAAGGTATTTTTCAAGATCATTTTACTTAATGCGAAATATGATAAGTAAAACACGGCATGTATGCTTCTATGTATTTTATTACACGTAACAGTGTATATTCAATAACAAAATATTCAACAACTTCCAATATATATCACTGCAATGGTCATTTCACCGGACAAGTAATGATTATTGCAAAGTGCATAATACAAACAAAACTTAACAACGAAACAACTTCAACGTATGTAAAATTATAGGTTAATATACTTTGAGCTCAGCTACTTCCTGAAACTTGAGCAAAAAAGAATTGGGATAAGAAATAATAATAAAAATAACAACTTTGTAAAGCTATTTCCATTGAAACGTTGACTTAACAAAGCTGCCAGTTTTCTAACAACTGGCAGCATTTCTGTATTTTGTCAGATCTTCGCCATTATACGCTGTCTCGGTGGGATACTCTGCGGCAATCACCTTCAACACATCAACTCTGGTACAGGCTTGGCCATTGCATGGGTTTGCAGGGAGATCACCGGACTTGACTTTTCTTTGTATCATCCCAACTATAATATCTGGAGAAACGCCGAAAAGTTTTCCAGTCTTGATGTCATCAACAACTTTCCCAGTTATAGGAGCTGCTTTGGCTAAGAACGCTTCCAGTTGTGCCTGTGACTTTATGGAACCACCAATACAACCGAGTGGAATTCCGTCGTAGGAAGTGCGCGACGGGAATGCGACCTTGATGACCTTCAGGACGGAGAAATGGTGTGGAAGACGGGCATTGAGATTCAGCGTGACCGCGTTCGCCAGCATCCTGTCCAGAGTCAGGCCGTCGGTCACCCAATTCAAGACGTTGGTGGTGACTATGGCAGAGTTGTACAGGTCAATCATTTCCGTCTTGGAGGATGTCAGGGCTACCATGAAGGCTATCTGACTAACCAGAATTGTACTCGAGGTGACGGTGTCTTTATTCCACTTAGAAAGAAAGTCGGAGATAACTTTGATTTGGGCAGCGTCACGGAGGAAAATGCACAGGGTGTCTTGGCAACTTGGGTCGTCTGCAATGGTGTTATCGGTGGTGCTAAAGAGATTGTACAACGACACGGTGTTATTCTTGATTTTTGCGTACAGGTTTTTCTCCGCTGCAAGAAGACCATCTAAGTCTGCCTTTTTCTTTTCCACGTTTGCCTTGGCTTCGTTCAGCTTGCCGTCGATATCTATGATTTTCTGCTCTACACTTTTGCTAGATGAAATGGTCATGTACAAACACAGTGCGACGTTCAGGGCACCACCTACAGTGCCCATGTTCAGAACGTTGCTGACCTTCACTTTACGTCCCCTCCAGTTGAACAAATTTAAGTTCCTGAAAGAAGACCACCCATTTTTAACTCTTTGCGTGAATGTTACTTTTTTGGCAGGCACGTCCCAGTCAAAATGCTTGAGGTTGCCGTCGGGTAACTCGGGGGCTGCTGCTTTAACTTTTGCGGCGTAGGCGTCGAACTCTGCGTCTGTGAGTGTTTTGGAGTTTTCCAAGAACTTTCCTGAAACGATCAACAAATTAAAATTTGAAGTCACATGTAATTAAGATGGACATTCTGGGGGTGTGCTGAGTGTTGTTTCGAACAAAAAATTGTGACCTTATAATTATTTCCCAATGAGCAATTTGGTTTTGCTGATACACATCAATCTCAGATATCGGTATATCGAAGTATTTTAAGAACATTCCTGAAACGATCACCAGAACTTCAGGATTGTTTTAATTTTGCTTCACAACAATTTTTTGATATATTGTGTTTAGTGTTCAGTTTTGGTTCTGACAGATCGGTCACAGTCTTTGGCAAAACGAAAAAATCCTGCCGATTTTGCAAAATTAAACCAAAGGTCGACATAAGTCAAGTAAAATGCTGCCTCACTTAGCAATTCCGCCTCACCGATAAAAAGGTTTATTCAGTTATGCTGTGTAATAAAATGTAATGATCTTTGGAATTATGCGCGATTGAGGGTTTGGTTAAATACATCGTTCTCACATATTGGTTCAACAAAATTGGCCATTTGATTATTTAAACAACGAAACTGCCATCATAACTCAGATCAGGTGTATAGTTTCCTATACATTTGAATATTGATTGAATCGTACCTGTTGCTCCTGCTTTATTCAACTTATCAAGCAGGTCAGGGTTAGTAGCCTTCAATCTGTTGTATGCTTTGACCACGGCGATGTCATTTGGGTTCAGAATGTCTGTGCCTAGCTTCAATTGTTTTGGAAGATTAGCGTCAGGGATATCGGTATCGTACTTGTAGAACTTATCTTGATCTAAAGTTTGGGCTTTCTTGACAAAGTCATCGAACTCCGTTGATGTAAGGCCTTCTGTTCTAGTCAGGAAAGCAGTAACGTATCCCTTTTGTTTCAGTGTGTCCAGGTAGTCGGGATTTTTTTGCTGGAGCCGTGCGATTTTCTTGCCTCTCTCAAAGTCGAAGCTTTCAAGGAACTCGGACACCATGGCGGACTGTCCGGCTGGCATCATGAACTTCCAGAACCGTCCAACTTTTCCGCTGTCACTGACCGATTGCAGAACCTTCAGTTTACCCAATTCCGGCGCCTCTTGCACTATGTAAAGTCGTCCTGACGGGTTATACGCGAGTTTCATCTTTCCATTACCACCAACTATATCTACTACCTGATAGGACTGACTTCTTGTGAGAAAAGCTTGACGGGCAGATGTAAAAATATGGCCAGTGTGCATAGCTACAAGGGGGACTGCTGTCATGATTGCAAACATTACGTAGTCGCGTTTTTTCAGAGAATCTATTTGGGAACCTGCAGCTACCAGTGTTGCTTTGACTCCGTTCAGGTAAGTTTCCAAGTCAACTTGGAAACGTATTCTGATTTCTGTGACATTATCGGTGGCCGAGTCGTAAATTGTGTCCGTTTCTTCTTTAACGCTGATTGCCTTTAGTATGCCCATTAAGCGAAGATTGCTGGCTGTGACCAGTTCCAAGTCTTTCTCGATTAGCTGTAGATTACCGATGGCTTTTTCGTCGGTGGAATTCAATGTTGCCCACTCAACTTGTCTCTCCAGGGTGTGGTTCACTAGGGTAGCTATCGTACTGCGCTTGGTATCTAAATTTTTTAACCTGAGAAGAATAAAAGGTGAAGGATACGTCAGGATCTATTTCCTTATCCGCATTGATAATGAAAAAATTAATCTTGTCCTGTTAAGAAGTAATGCTGTCACATCAAAAGTAAGGCGGGGTAAATTTGTTAATTCGAGCAAATGACGTAAAAGAAGAGTTTTTGGGTTAAAATTGTCTCCAATTCAAATAGATTTATGTCTGTCAAAATGTCTGTCACTGTTAACCGCCTTTTTAAAATCACATTAAGTACAACAATATGGTGCCAAAAACCTAGAAAGGCTTACAACTGATTTTTTCATTAATTTGCCGAAATAATGCCTTTGTTGGATGGAACATCGTAATTGGAGGGCCATATCTTATAAACAAAAATTTAAACCATGCAAATTTTCACGATGATGTCCGAGAGTTACGGAGTTACAGCGCAAACTGATCACTATCTACGCCGATTTTCAGTGAAAATGCTGATAAAAATGCTGGTATTTAAAAGCAGAAGTGCGTGGGTGGTGAATAAACAAACAGAAAAACTTTTACTCTAAAATTGCTTGATTTCATTGCAATAATATTTAGATAAGATTTTAACATAAATGAAATATGAAAAATGCCAATTAAGCCATTTTAACGTATCGATTTTGATTTTGAGAGAATTGCCCCCGATTTTTCAATGTGCGTACAGCTACAGTTAGTTTTATTTTACGTCGGTTTGAGTTATAAGTGAAATCTTAGCTTTGCAGCTACTCACCGTCGGTTCAGTCCAATTAACATTGTGCAATCGCTGTTTAAACGCAATTTGTCTCAAATTCCTAAGTAACTTTCATATACTCATCGAAAAGGATATAACAGGTCTTCGGTATTAACGAGCTGAACCGAGGTATAAAACATCTGCTGATAATATCATAAACTCACCTTTGGCAAGCTCCGGGTGACAAACTGTTGCAGTTTGCTAGGGATGCTAAGTGAGTTCCGAGACACAGCAAGTCGTCCCAAAAATTTTTAAAGACGAATTTCAATCCAGCTCCTATAATTGCTGCAAGGGAAAATGTTACTTAATTTTTTTTTATAAAACTGTTTCATGTTGGAATAATTGTATCGCTAATTTATTGTTTTGTAAAGGAACAAATAAGTTGCGAAACAAGATTACAGCAAGAAAAAGACTAAAATTTACAATCATTAAAAACTAAAACAACTAGAACTAAAAAAAAAAAAAAAATAGAATAGCTCAAAGAGCGGAAATCTCCAACAAAGCAACTCAATATTCTCACTATCATTATTTTTAATAAACTAATTACCTTGCTAGCCTGGGTCTCATTACTAATTAATCAATTTAATTTATCACTATCAAACTAATGGTTCCCTTTCGAAAGTTTCAGCAAAGACCCTTCCCAATTTTTTGCTTAGTGTTTCTAAGGTACAGACAAAAACTAACAGACAAAGGGTACCGAAAAACAACTTCATTCCTATTTATCCATTTTAATGTAACCAGGCAAATTTTATTTAACGTTGAAAACACTATAAAAGATTTAATTTGGATATACCAGGTATTTTATTACACAATGGACAACACAAAAACAAAATGAACTAAAATAACCAATAAATTTAGTGATAATTAGCTAATCATGATAATTTTCTGACTGAACTTGCTTTTTCACCAAACATAACCTATCTACTTAACATTTAGTACTAAGATGAACGTGGCAGAAAACATTAAAAACAGTTTGATATTGAAGATAAATTAAGGGTGAACAACGAATACGAGTTGACACCCCCATAAAAGTTGAGAATAGATAGAAATAGGTAGAAATAGGTTATTCATTATAATCATTGGTTCAATTAAGGTGTATAGGAGATCTAACCTTTTTCACCCAAGAAAAAATAATTAGACAATGCGGTATTCGGACTAATTTTCAAGAATATCAAGGTGTGGTCAACTTTAGCCTGCATGGTATATACAAATTTAAAGAATCGGTCCCAAAATTACCAAAATATTTGAGTATTTTTTAAGTGAGAAAAAGTGTCAAGATTTTTACTAATTACTTTGTAAAAAACAATTCAACTCCAACTGATTAATAACAGGGATCAATCGTTCGCTATTAATGACAAGAGTGACCTTCTCTTCCACGTTCCTATCAATCCTAAATTAAAATGGTTTCAATAGAAAATAAAATGTACCAAAACTTCTTACAACTGGTTTGGTTGAGACGCCGGCATGTAAATGGTGTGAGAAAGAATCGGAGGCAATTATTCATCTTTTATGGGATTGTTCAGTAACCAAAACCGTTTAAAAAGAAATTGAAGATAAGTTAAATTGTTATTGAAGAAGATACTGTATATGTTTGGAATTTTAGACAAATATTGCATGTGACTAGTATGTTTATATGCTAGTCTGTGGTGTGAATAGTGCAGTCCATTGCTTTTGTGCTATATTAACTTTATTCGGGTTATTATTCATTAAAGCAGATTCTATCAGAATATCAAACTCGGGTTTTCTATGATGACCTACTGTTTTTCAGATTAGTGTAACATAAGCTATTATTTACCCACAATTTATTGAATTATGTTGTTTTCACTCGTCCTCCCTAGGTTTATAATTTACTTGCACGGCAATGCCCGAAGTTATCAATGATGTGTATAGTAATACATTTAATTTTCAACTGCTGACGAAGTGTTTAAACTTGCAATACGTACATCTTTTCTCAGGGTTATAACCAGATCCATCATCTTCTTTATCCTCCAATAACTGCACTTTTTTCTTAGCAACCCTTTTCTGATCTCTGATGGCGTAGCCAATAGCTGGAATTGAAGAAAAGCATTAATTAAAATTCAGTCATATCACGTTACATTTTATATTTGGAAATTGGATATGGCTGAAGTGAAGGTGAAATGAGGTAGAATGTCTTAAAACAATGAAAGACTAAAAAGGTAAATTCAGATTAAGAATATACAGCTGATGAAACATTTCATGCACCAACCTGGATGGAAATTCTGCACCAACAGCAGAGCCGTCATCACGGCCCAAACATATAGGGTGGCAGTCTTTGACAGGCGAACCATGACAGCCTGTAAGTATATTAGCCATTAGGATAGGGATATTATAATTACTCTGACCACAGGGTGCACTGGTAGTTTTTTTGGCATCCTGTGATTTTCGAGCAATCAACGGGCACGCGTTTCTTGCCAGACATACTCTTTGGATTTGTCAGTGAGGACAATTTCATGCCTAGGTACTGAATAGAGCACATCCCTGTTTCTGTTACGTAATGCAACCCAAGCATGGCCTTATATCTACTCCAGCTTCCCCTCTTAGGGGTGGGTATACAGTGAACAAGTTTATTGACAATCGCCCTACATCTAGGCATAAGTAAGTTTCATTACACTGCTACACAGTCAAATTGGATTTTTCCCCACAGGGGTTCACAATAATTTTGTATGCTATTTAAGGAGCCGCTGGTATCAGAGGGCAACTACGATAACGGTCGCAACTAAAAACTGTTTCGCCGAAGGGGGCCATCAATAATGTCTCGTTGTTACACTGATTGGTGTCAATTGGTAAAGTATCTGTACGTTATTAAGTTTAAAAGCCCAATTTCCTTACATTATTTCCTGAATAATGGTATTTCCACATAAATTTCCTGTTTACGTTCTGTGCTTTATGGAGGGAGTAATTAAAATGACATTCACAAACCAGAAATTTGAAGAAAGTACAGTTTGGGAGTATTTATCTGCTGCCCGAGGAATATATTTGTGGTTTTCAGCACGTGGTGTTAAGGAGTACTGTGCAAGAATCTAGTGTTAATTATGTACATACGTATCCCGGCATTCACTCTCGTTTTTTGTGCATCCTTCATAATGTAGTGAAAACAGCGTCTTGTACCTAATAAAGGGACACACAAAGACACACAGAGAATGCTTACCTTTTTCTCCAAGTAAATGTCTCCGATATTTGTCCGAACTCCCTTCCGTAGCTCAGGGTTCTGGTGCTGACCAAGCCCTCGTGGTCCACTTTATACTCTTTGGTCACGCGCATTCTTCAGCAGTACTCAACATTTCAACAAGAACACATGTTTCAGAATTGTGACTTCCATTTGCGTAAATTATCAGAGCGTAACACCTGATAACTGGTCAATATATTGCCCTGTAGGTTTTCATAGAAATATTTTTCTAATGCTGTTTAAAATGGCATTAAACTTGGATTAATTACAAACAAAATCTGGTAGTTGTTTTATTTCAAAATAATGACTATAAGCACAGGGCCTAAGATAATGGTGTAAATATCTTAACGTTATCCTGTCATTTTTTTCAACTCAGGGGAAAATGTGTTGTGGAAAAGACGTGATTCGATTCCTGTGACACTAAAGGGCAGTAGGAGGCATAAACCAAATTAGTGAAACCAAATAGACACATTTCGTTTTCTTGGTCAATTCAAATTACGTGTCCTCTTTATTTTTAAATAGGCACAAACACTATCGTGCTGAACCAGTTCCTTTAAAACATCCTCGTGGAAGTTCCTGTTATACAATACCGGAAGCAATGGACGTAGTTTGATGTGTTTATAATTTATAGGTGATATCCAAAATGTTTGAAGGAAGAAAGAGGGAAATGTTTAGTTCATAATCTTGCGCTTAATGTGATGATTTTTCAAACGGTTCAAATGAAAGCATGCAACACACTTTTAGGGTGGGGTTTAGCATTTTCGCTCAGTGTTTTGGTCCGGATCAAGCCTTCGCGATCTACTTTATACTATTTGGTCAAGCGAATTGTTCAGCAGTAGCTTTACTCGTGGACGCGTAGTCTACACGCACGAACACGTGTTACAATACTATGACAGCCACTTGCGTAAATTATCAGAGCGCAACCTCAAACATAATGGTCAATACATTGCCCAGTAGGATTCTATTGAAAAAGTTTCCTTATGTCACAATGACACGGAGCTGGAATAAATTGCAAACAAAATCTGGGAGTTGATCTATACAAAATACCATGGGGCTGACATCACCCTATGAGCGGTGATATCAGCGTATTCTATTCAAAATTAAGGGTTTTGGGTGAAAAACTTGAACGATTTCCTTTGTATGTATGACAAATAATTCTCTGCAATCCCCAATCCCACTCTACGATCGTTCCGCATGCTATCGTGTATACCGGGCGCGTGGGGCAGTGCATTATTTGGTACTTATACACTTAACGGCTCTAAAAACGGGGCTAAATAGAATGCTGTAGATTTTTAACGTTATCCTGTTTATTTATTTTTGTCAACTCCAGGGTCAAAAGTTAAAACTGAAACAAAATACGACATGATTCGATTCCTGAGAAACTAGTGGGTGGTATAATTGAAACCAGATTGACGCACCTTGTTCTAGGCAAACCAAATATTATCTTCTCCATACAGTATATATTAGGTATATTTCAAAATGGACACCAAGTACTAAACTGTTTTATTTTTTTACCTCATCACGTGTGTTCCTTTTGTACAATACCGGCGGTAATGGAAGTAATCATATGTATGTGATATTAAAATGTTTGGACTTGACGTGATTAAAACTAGCTTTATAAATCTGTACACTATGAAAGTGATTTTTCCAAAAGGTTCAAATTAAAGCATGCGACGCTTCTTTTAGGATGGAGATAAGCATAAAATTTTCACAATAAAGTAATGGAAGTATTCTTTGAAAAACAGATGATAATGAAAAGTCAGTGAATATACTATAGTATAATAACATTGGTTCTGTTTTGCTTTATACAGGTGTATGAGTTTCAATATTATAATTCATTCTCATGAGGCGTTATCTGTATTATCCTTAATAAAAATAAACGAATGCGGGGGCGTAAGTAACAGTTGCTAAGTAGTTACGAAAACAGGTTTTACTCATCATAAACATGAATAGAATTACAAGAAGTAGGATTCTTTCACTATTTTTAGTCCTATAATCCACAAAAGAAATAAACACAAATAGAACGTAGGTCAGTTATGTCCTTTTTCTATTTCATTGCTTTAACATGTAGACCCAGGCCACCGGAACTCAAAGCAGGGGTACTCGCGTCAGATGGCCGAAAAACAACATTAATTTCTTCCGCCGGCTAACTACTAACATCACAAATATATTGATGAAAATAACTGCCAATCTGTCACTCATCCTGTGTCATGGACATAAGCAGGAGATGACAACCCCTGTTCTCATGATATATAACAATAAACGCGAACATTTGTTAATTTATTTGACCTTCAATTTAGCAGGCGGGCTACAGACTGCGTGTCCTATAGTGATCACCGGTCTGTTATAAATTTAAAGTGGCCCCATTTCCCATAAACAAGGTACCTACGTCACAGTCTATTTATAGTGCGAGTGGGCAGAACATGTCAAGAAAACACATGCTTGCTTACGTTTCTTCTTTTCATTTCAACATTTAATTTTAAAATTAGAATAATAATACGGGTTGTACAATATTCATTAAGGAGTGGGAGGATGAAATATTTTCTCACTTCCAGAGGCAAATACAGAATAATAAACGATGATAATTTTACTGTAATATGTACTACACATGGATGGAAAAATTGCTTGTCTTTTCTACTTTCGCCTGTTATAATTATAATTTTTTTGGTTGGGCACGGGGGTGGAGGGGGGGGGGGGCACCCTGGATCCACCTTTAAACTAAGGCCACAAGGTTGTTTAGCAGAATTTCTTTATAAGCAAATGCTTTGTATTTCTCAAAGTCAAATAGTAATAACATTATTCAAACTAAACTTACAGTGTACAGCAATTCATAATTCGTAATTGTAAATGACACATCATTTTACTGATGACAATGAGTAATGGGATATTCTGTGACTAGAAATACACATTTCTTTGGGTAAACTTAAGAACAAAAATATTATTTATATATTAACTGAATTTCCGTCTTCCTTCCCATTTATTACGGTATAGCAGTTAAAACTAAGGAGATTAGAAATAAATAAGTACATCAAGTGCTCTCTGTTTCTTTTATCATTAATGCATTTCCGAAGATAAATAATAACGAATAACGTTTGTTCATTCTGTTTTGACCGTTTAACTCATACTTCCACGACCACTGGAGAGAGCAATGGCCCAATAGCGTGGTATAAAGGCATTAGGCAAATGTTGCATATAATTACAGGCTGCAGGGCAATAGTCTGTTCGGAAGTATTTCGCAATGCCCTAGTCATTTACGCAGCCTGTAGCTATGGCAACATAGGTTATTGTAGGCCATCCTTAACCACAAGTCGTGAGTACCGGCCAACCGTATCCGGGACCGTATAGTATAAATGAACAACGCCGCTGAACCCAGCAACAAAACACTGAAAGAAGCGAAGAAGAGAAGTGCAATACTGAATACTTTCAATTGAAGGAAAAAGGTAAGCAATTTTTTAAAAATATTTTTATTGCTCTCTTCGACAGAGTGCACTTGGTTATGTTAAGGCTTCTATGATGAGTCAAAAAGCAACTAACGTTTTCGCATTTAGTATATCACATCTAAATGATAGTTTTTCCAACAGACCAGCTGTCGTTGTACCGGTATGTGTTGTCTTTGGGATATCATCTGTCTTCGCTTGTATCTAGGGCAAAACTGCTACACACACTGGACAATAGAAGTGTCACCCCCTAAATCACAGTAATCAAAGTAGGCAGATCTTGGGTAGTTATAATGCCTGGTCTACTTATAATGTAACTAATGGGTATAAAACCGCTATACCATGGAATTTTATTGTTGGTCTTGTACATGTACAGCAAATGTCATTCCTGTCTTCCTCCAATATGGCAATTTAACGATTACAGTCGTCAAGTTATAAACCTGAAGAGGCGGAATATAAGCAATGTCAAAATATCGATACAGTTGAATTGTTCAGTCAGAACCGAGCAGAGGGTCTGATCTCGGTATAGAAACACTGGATCAAGAGACAAATTGCCTCTGATGGGTCGTCCAAGAAAAACTACTGACCGTGAAGACCGACGACTGATTTTGATGTCCAGTTTGTCAAGGTTCGACGTTGCTTGTCAGTTGACAACACAGTGGAACAATTTCACACATAAGAATCTGTCTGTGAAAACTGCTATGCGTCGGTTACATGCTCAGAGAGTGTACAGTAGGGTAGCAAGACTGAAACCTCTTATATCGTAATAAAACAGGCAACGTAGAGTGAACTAGGGCCCACAGGATCTGGAACTAGACAGCTCCCATGGCAATTGGTCCTATATAGTTTTTCTGATGAGTGTCGCTTTGGTCCTATGCTGGCGAACTGCTGGTAAAGCATTTTAACCACATGCACGGAATTTTCGAACCCGGAGCAGCATATCCATTATGGTGTGGGGCTGCATCAGCATCGATGGCGTAGGTGAATTGGTAGTGTTTGATGGAAACATGAATCACCAGAAATATATTGATGCTTTGGAGTCACCCGCACGAAAATGCAGTAGTATCGAAGTAGCAAAAAAGCATTAACGCAGTAGTGGTGTGGAGCATATTTGCAGTAGAAATGCAGCATAGCCTACTGCAATTCTACTCCAAAAAGTACATAGGTTTGTACAGAGAGGACCATTAATGCAGTAGATATGCAGCATGATAGAAGCATGTTTCAAATATGCTAATTAGCTCCCAAATCGAAGCAGATTTGAAGCATGTTTGCAGTATGATTGCCGTAGTCTACTGCGGTTTGCAGTATGATTGCAGTAGTCTTCTGCGCTGGAGTATCTTCTGCGTTTTCTTGCGGGGCATGCAGACTTGCTACCATCTATTACTAACATGTTTTGTGACAAGAACTATCCACTTATTCACCAGGATGACATTTATTCACCTTGTCACAGACCCAGAGCAGTTGATGATTGGTTTGACCAACAGGACATTCGCAGGGTGATGTGGCCTGCCCAGAGTCCTGATGCAAACATAATAGAAAATGTGTGGAATGATACGTTAAAACCTTTGACAAATGCCCGTCCAACCAGCAGACAAACTCTGTTAGATTCAGTGTTTCATGCTTGGGCCAGCATAAACCATGAACGCATCAGACAATTATATGAATCCTTGCCTCGCACTGGCAGCTATTATTAGGTCACGAGGCTATGCCACTTAGTACTAATTTTGGACTTGAAACTGCATAACTTGGTAGAATGTATATTTTGTTCTCATTTCGTGTTTTTTTTTTTTGAAATTTGATGTTAATAAAATGATACCAGGAGCATATCATTCTACAGTCATTTATCTCCCCCAAAGTATTGGTTCTATTGTCCAATGTGTTTATTTGCTTCGTTCTAGCTCGTATGTTACATTAAGAAAAAGTTCTCACTAGAGTAGGTTTCGATCTGCGTAATTTTGTGGTCCTTTACAGTACCGGTTGCTTCACGACGGCGAGATTCGTAATGTCCAATAACAAATTTAATAATTTTGTACATGTTTATTCTGAAATTTATGGAATATTTGCTTACAGACTGTCATGGTTCGCCTGTCAAAGACCGCGACGCTGTATGTTTGGGCCGTGATGACGGCTCTGCTGTTGGTGCAGAATTTCCATCCAGGTGAGTTAGTGGCATTATACCCCCATCACACTAGAGGCGGAATGAGCAAGAATGCCGTGGGGAAGACAAATCTTTGTGCGTTCCTGGATATTCATAGAGCATTCTTAAAATTCCGAGTGCATTCCAAATATTTTTACCCGTTCTTGTGGCCGACCCGAATGTTTTGCTCATGTTAAAAAGTTTCCAAGTGGAAAATTATCGAATGGCGTTTGAATGGCATTCTAACTGCACTATGACTGCTTTCTAAATATTCTCACGGCATTCCGACAGCATTCGAAACATTCTGATCACATTCGAGGGAGAACCGAAATGGTAAGACACTTCAAATCCTGCTAGAATGAGCCAGAATGCAACTCAAATGCATCTCGATCCTATTTCAGCTAGCAATCGAACCACACTCGTTCGGCATTCGAAGTGTATTCTAAATATTCTGACTGCATTCTGGCAGCATTATTGATATTCCTAGTTTTCCAACTACATTCGAGCTGCATTTGAGAGCTAATACAGCCGAAATGTGGATTCAAGGGCATTCTGAGTATTCCAACAACATTCTTACAAGAATTTAGGTCAAGTTGAAATTTCTTCCCGAATGTAGTACGAATTTTTAAATTTAGTCAGTCCGGCTGGTTCTGCTTGATTCCTGCTGATTCCGAATAAGTGTGACGAGGGCTTTAAATGTATTGGCCCCACGTTTTTTTAACAAATATGTAATAAAACCTGTTTTAGTCGAAATGTTTGAATGTTATAAAGCTTTTTTTGCCCGTGAGTCTGATTTGGAAATTTTACCATACTTCATTCGATCCTTTCTAAGTATTATTTCAACAGTAGGCTACACATTGATCGTTTTAAATTATAATAAAAATAACAGGTTAATGAACGGTGAACCTTCTCCTTAATTTCAGCCATAGGATATGCTATCAGAGCTCCGCGAAGAGAAGCTAATGATGAGATGCGGTTATTGGAAGATAACGCAGCTGATGGATCAAATCACCACATCAAGAAAAGATGTATGTATTGTTATTTTTACGCATATTTATTCTACAACAAACGCGTCAACTGGTGATTTTGATAATATAGATTTTTCGTTTGTACCTGTTTCACCCGCACATCGGTGTATTCACGTTCATTATCATCTTCTTCTTTCGAAATTTATAAAAGGACTTTCAAAATAAAATTAGAATGTAAATTTACGCTACATTTAAGTTTTCTAACGTGAAGTGATAGCTGTAAATTTTCTTAGATCTAACATAGCTATGTATTTTAAGTGAGAAACATTTCCCTTGCAGCAATTCTTGGAGCTGGTCTGAAATTCATATTCAAAAATTTCTGGGATGATTTGCTGTGTCTTGGAGCTCACTTAACGACTCTAGCAAACTGCAACAGTTTGTCACCAGGAGCTTGTCAAAGGTGAGTTTATGATATCCTATTAAGAGACAATTTTACTTCTCCGTTCGTTTCTACCACGGGCTAGGGAAAGGGCTACCTACTTTATCCTCGTTGAACGATAAATACTTTTACACAATCTGCCTTCGAATAATCCCCCATTAATATGTTATGTACATTAAAACTAAAGTCTTGACTTTTTGGATTAATTGAAACGGAAACCGTATCTTTTTTCTTCTTCAGGTTAAAAGATTTGGAAACTAAACGAGATAAGATAGCAACCTTGGTGAACCAGACCCTGGAGACCCAAGTTGAGTGGGCTACATTGAATTCCACTGACGAAAAAGCCATCATTAATCTACAGTTGATCGAGAAAGACTTGGAACTGGTCACAGCCAGCAATCTTCGCCTCATGGGCATACTGAAGGCAATCAGCGTCATAGAAGAAACGGACACAGTTTACGACTCAGCCACCGATAATGTCACAGAGATCAGAATACGTTTTCAGATTGATATGGAAACCTACCTGAACGGAATCAAAGCAACACTGACATCTGTAGGTTCCCAAATCGACTCTCTGAAACACCATGACTACATAATGTTTGCCATCATGACAGCAGTCCCCCTTGTAGCTCTGCATACCAGCCATATTGTGACATCCATCCGTCAAACTTATCTCACGAGAAGCCAGTCCTATCAGGTGGTGGATATCGTTGGTGGCAACGGCAGGATGAAACTCGCGTATAACCCACAGGGGCGACTTTACATCGTGCAAGAGTCCCCAGATTTGGGTAAACTAAAGGTTCTACAATCGGTGAGTGACAGTGGAAAAGTGGGACGGTTCTGGAAGTTTATGACGCCATCTGGACAGTCCGCCATGGTGTCCGAGTTCTTGGACAGCTTCGACTTTGAGAGAGGCAAAAGAATTGCTTGGCTTCAGCAAAATAACGCCGACTATCTGAACACACTGAAACAAAAGGGGTATATGACTGCATTCCTGAGTAGAACAGATGGTCTTACGACAACAGAGTTAGATGACTTTGTGAAGAAAGCGGCAGTTTTAGACCAAGATAAGTTCTACAAGTACGATGCCGATATCCCTGAAGCTGACCTTCCCAAGCAATTGAGACTAGGCTTAGACATTATGAACCCAAATGACATTGCCGTGGTCAATGCATACAACCGACTGAAGACTACCCACCCAGACCTGCTTGAAAAGTTGAATAAAGCCGGTTCAACAGGTACGACCCCATATATATTTAGATACGTGATAAACTACCCCAATCCTTGTATGAGTTAGTTTACTGTGTCTTTAATAATTGGATAATTTCTTTTGCCCACCTGTAAGAACTTTCTATATTAGGTATTTTCAGTTAAATATTCAAAGATGAAGTTTATTATAATTTTTTGGAACATCACAGTGAAGCAAGCCTTTCAAAAATATAACCGAGGCGATAGGACGGGTAAATATAAGCGTTGTGGTTTGCGCAGTTCAGTGGTATCTTTCGGTTTAGATTTACCGATAATTTCGGGCGATGTGTATCAGCAAAACCAAATTTGTTATTGCGAAAATATGTCAGATTTTTTGTTCAAAACAACACTAAACACACCACTACACACTTCATTTGAAATTAACTACAAATTTTGATTTGTGAATCTTTTCAGGAAAGTTCTTGGAAAACTCCAAAACACTCACAGACGCAGAGTTCGACGCCTACGCAGCAAAAGTTAAAGCAGCAGCCCCCGAGTTACCCGACGGTAATCTCAAGCACTTCGACTGGGACGTGCCTGCTAAAAAAGTCACATTCACGCAAAGGATCAAAAATGGGTGGTCTTCTTTCAGAAACTTTAACTTGTTCAACTGGAGAGGACGTCAAGTGAAGATCAGCAACGTCCTTACTATGGGAACCATAGGTGGAACCCTGAATGTTGCACTCTGTCTGTACATGACAGCTTCTTCAACCAAAAGCGTGGAAGACAAAATAATAGAAATCGACGGCAAGCTCGACGAAGCCAAGACAAACGTAGAAAAGAAAAAGGCAGAGTTAGATGCTCTTCTTGTAGAGGAAAAAGACCTCTACACAAAAATCAAGAATAACACCGTGTCTTTGTACAATCTCTTTAGTACCACCGATAACACCATTGCAGACGACCCGAGTTGCCAAGACACCCTGTGTACTTTCCTCCGTGATGCTGCCCAAATCAAAGTTATCTCCGACTTCCTTGCTACGTGGAATAATAATACGGTCACCTCGAGTACAATTCTGGTTAGTCAGATAGCCTTCATGGCAGCCCTGACATCCTCCAAGACGAAAATGATTGACCTGTACAACTCTGCCATAGTCACCACCAACGTCATGAATTGGGTGACCGACGGTTTGACACTGGACAGGATGCTGGAGAACGCAGTCACGCTGAATCTCAATGCCCGTCTTCCCGACCATTTTTCTGTGCTGAAGGTCATCAAGGTCGCTTTCCCATCACGCACTGCCTACGACGGAATTCCATTAAGTTGTATTGGCACTAAAATTACAACACAGGCAGAACTTGAAGCGTTCTTACTAAAAGCAGCTCCTATAACTGGAAAAGTTGTTGATGACATCAAAACTTGTCAATTTCTCGGCATTTCTCCGGATGATATCGTTAGGTTAATACAACGCAAAGTGAATTCCGGTGATCTCCCTGCAAACCCTTGCAATGGCCATGCTTGTACCAGTGATGATGTGCTGAAGGTGATTGCCGCAGAGTTCCCCGACCTAACAGAGTATAATGGGAAAGCCTTGGCAAAATACAGAAACACTGCTACTTGTTAGAGATTCCTCATCTTTGTTGAATCCATGTCCCAATTATAAGAGCTTTAAAGGCGGATATGCCATTTAGCAATACTTTCTATCATCCATTACTTTTATTCACTATGCATAAGATATGTAGAGAGCTCAATATACATGTTTAAAAACTTTCATTTTCCCACAAATTTATTTGTTTATCAAGTTTATTTTTGAAAAAGCAGCTCCTATAACTGGTTCAGTTATATTTTGAAAATAAACGTCTGCATCCTTAGTGATAATGAAAACTTGACCAATGGAATGTTTCATAATGGTACGGCGTTTAATGTTTTGTTATTGAACTTGTTGTTTACAAACGCACAATGAAATATACATGGAACCATAAGCACCGCCTTTATTCTGGGTTCTTTTATTTGATCTTTTAAGCTATAATAACTCATCCCTTAATTGTTCCAATCCAAAACCCATCCCTGTATCCAGGAGCAGATATTAATGCTTGATAGTTTTTTCTTAATTGTGTTTGTAATTCTCATACCATGGATCAGACTTGTGTTGATTCGAGAGAAAAGCTGCTCTTGTTATTACCTCTTATCGTTTGACTATATTTGTAACAGGCGGAGCACTCTCAGTATCAGGGTTCGTTAATAATATACTCGTTTGTGTATTTTTATTTGTGAATTTCTTTCTAATGATCTTGATGAAATTCTAAAATGGTTCCACATCAGATTTGTTCAGAGATATCTTTGGAGGAAAATAATTACCATATAGACGCAGACACGTGAACTGGATTTCCTTTGTGCAAAAATCTTTATTACTGTTAACTTGTCTAGGAAGGTTTAGATAAGATTAGTAAAGAAACCCTCTTGGGAGTAGAGGTTTGTTGATTCATATACACTGCAAATGGAATATGACAGAAAAAGTGTAGCTGTGTTATAAATTGAAAATGGCTCGAAGAATAAAATGGAGATTTACTGAAAAGTTACAGATTTATGTTGTATTCCCCCCCTCCTCGTCCATGCTACGTGCAAGACACTGGATCTTATCTAAGATTTATAAACAAGATTTATGGGGGAGTCACCCTATTGAACGAAGGTTGGGAACTGATAGATGAAAATAAATAACTTAGTTAGAATGATTTAACACATAATTATTAAAGGTGGGGCTTATAATATGCCGCTTGGGTTGGGAGGTGGAAAATAAGGATGATGAAATTTCTCACCTTGTCTTGGGGGTCTTGTGTCCATGTCCCTGTTGCTCTCTTATGCAGGTTTGTTGTATAGTCCTTACTCGTTCTTCTTTCTGTGGTTGTCTTACTGAGTGGCGTAAGACTGCCTAATTGTAAGACAGTAAATGTTGTGGTAACTAAACCTTGTGGACCAGTGGTAACTTACCATTGGTCAATGTGATGTAATAATTACCCTTTGATGTTCTCCTGTGTAGCCATAAAGGCTTCGTTCACATGCAATGTCTATTTTCTAAATTCTATTTTCTATTTGCGGCATGTCTTATGATCACGGTCTGTGCACTGAATATCCCGCCGCGTAATTACTGGCAGCGCGAGCCAGTTACTTATAGTAACTTATAGTAACTGGCTCGCGCTGCCAGTAATTACGCGGCGGGATATTCAGTGCACAGACCGTGATCATAAGACAGCGCGAATAGAAAATAGAATTTAGAAAATAGACATTGCATGTGAACGAAGCCTNGGATGATGAAATTTCTCACCTTGTCTTGGGGGTCTTGTGTCCATGTCCCTGTTGCTCTCTTATGCAGGTTTGTTGTATAGTCCTTACTCGTTCTTCTTTCTGTGGTTGTCTTACTGAGTGGCGTAAGACTGCCTAATTGTAAGACAGTAAATGTTGTGGTAACTAAACCTTGTGGACCAGTGGTAACTTACCATTGGTCAATGTGATGTAATAATTACCCTTTGATGTTCTCCTGTGTAGCCATAAAGTCTGGTGTGCACACGTCGGATTAAGTTCAGAAGGGAGAATCCCTGTGATGTTGCAAGCAGGTTCTTGGTTATAAAAGTAATTATAGTTTGCAAGGATAATTTTGGATTGATAACCAAGACTTATTGAATAAAATTATTTGCTAGGTGTTATAAGTATGTGTGGGTGTGGGCGAAAACGGGAGTCACCCTATTGAACGTAGGTTGGGAACTAATAGATGAAAATAAATAAACTTAGAATGACTTAACACATAATTATAAAAGGGAATTCTACAACACCCATTCCACAGGGATTATCACTATGAAACTAAATACTAGATTTAACATTTGTATAATTTTGGGCACTTTGTAGCCTTAGTGGAGTTTTCCTCTTGGACGTTAGTAAGGTTTCACTCTTGTTGTACATGTATGTGACACAAAGTGATTTCTCATAGAAATATCAAACCGGTTACTCAATCGGTAAGGACTGATATAGTCGTACCTGTAGTAGCAGTGGTTTATATGCATTATGGAGATTCCGCGCTCACTTCATATGTACATGTACGCTTAAGGTACTTAATTTGCACCCTGTCTCTGTCTTCAATATTTTGATTACCATAAATATGACCCAAAAGATGGGGTTGAAAATCAGTTGCATGTATTTGCGCTCTATAAAAGTGATTTCTCTGCACGATTCAAATGACACGCTCGGGTTGGCATGCGAATAAACAAGCTAGCTCAGTGTTCTGGGCCTACCCAAATCCTCGTGGTGTCAAGGCCGCTATTAAAGCTGTCATTTTTTAAAAAAATCTTATGCTGTAAATGAATTTTCAGTTTTCCTATTCCATTCAATTTCCATAGGCCAGAGATGAGGATGTTCTATAATATTATGTGTCATGAATGTATTTCCTTTTGTTAAAGCTTAGAAAATCAAATGTGTTTTCAGGACGTATATGTTAGGAAGCCAGTTTACATGAATCAAATTTTATTTAAAAAGAAGAAGCCATATTATTCACCTGGTTTAAAATGGGTAGTTATTAACCTGTATCTATAAGCCATTTAGTGTCTAAGTCTCCTGTATCAAAAGTACATAATTACATGTAACAGGACTATAGCTCGGGTTTGATATTGTTTTATTCTCATACAAATATCTGCAAAAATATTATATACAAAATAATTTTAAACAATGACATCAACAATATTTACACAAAGTAAGACGAAAGATATGGAAGACAGAACAGAGAAAGAAAAATATAAGAGTTTATTATAACAAACAATGACAAATACACCATAAATAAGTAAGTATATAAATTTAGAAATATGAAATTTAAATCTTGGATTGGTCCTTACACTCATCTGCAAGAGTACTTGAACAATTATTTCAATTATTCCAGCCTGCAACGTCCGTCTGTCTTTCAGGTGCAAGTGCAAATGGTTTATGGGGCGCGGTTTTCAAACCCGTGACATCCACGAACGCAAATGAACATCCAATACACACCGAACACAATCACAACGTTTACAATCACAACAAACGCAACATATTAGGGGCTCAAACCTTACAAACATTAAAGTGATCCATCTCGCTAAAAAGCCAAAACTATGTACTACATGTACCGGAGGATGTTAAGGTTCATGAGGAGGATTAGACGGAGAGGGAGGGGAAAGTATTGTGATACAGTGACATAAGGGCTAAATAGATATCAAACTAATGTTGTTATACTCCTTCTTCCATGCCTCAGTAATAAGCGATACTTAAGGGACCATTCCCAGACCCTATCGTACTAACTTTGGATCGAACTACCCCTGTATCTCCAAGGGGATTCTCGCTTAATTGCAATTAACTTAAGCGGTTTGGATGTCTGTTACGCCTACTGAAGCTGTTCAGGGGTAATTAGTTATCGTTTAGCAGCTTCAGTTGGAGTGCCAGACATCTAAGCCGCTTAAGCTGAAAGCAATTTAGCGAGAAACCCCTTGGGGATGGATCGATCCTATTAGATCGATCTAGTAATGGGAACCCAGTCTTAGATAGAACCTGGGTAGGGAATAACGCGGGACCCTTACAGTGGTTTACTTTATTATTTTCGTTCAAACGAATTGTTCGGCAGTACTCATATTTCACTTGTCAGGGAGGAGGGGGGAGGGGGTACTACCACTTGCGTTAATAACCAGATTGCAACACCTGATTTCCAATCAATATATTGTCTAGTACGATTCCACCGAAATATTAACTTTATGCCAGAACGAGACAAATTATTACCAATTATGATGTTAATTTATGTAAACTTTATGGCCATAATAAGGCACAGGGTTAAACGGAGTGGTGCAAACTTCAGGATTGGATTTGAGAACAATAACAAAACATGCCCTTATGCGATTCCTGAGGCACAAATGGTCAGGAGTCCGTACATTTAAGTAAAGGTCCTCCACTCCCCCATGCAGTTTCACCGTTTAATAGGGTGGTGGTCTTTAGGGGCATAAGCATTAAATTATTGAAACAGTTGGTCGCATTTAAATCTTAGTCGGTTGAAATTCTACATTCTCATTATACATTCTTTTTAGATAGACACTAAGAGCTGAGCATTTTTCTTTTAACATCATGCAATTTCTATGTACAGTATCGGTGGTGATGGATGTGGTTCTAAGTGCATAAAATTTCTACACGATATTTAAAATATTTGAAGGATTTAAAAATGTGTTCAACATTTGCGTTCTATGAAAGTGATTTCTCCGAACAGCTCAAAAGTCGTTTACAACACACTTTTTGGGACTGGGTTTATCACTTATTTTTAATGCTGAATATAGGCAGTTTCTTACAAAAACCCAAAATATCATCATGAAAAGTTAGAAAAAGCCCTTGCTTTTGCGTATACCTACCTGTATATCTCATCCATCCAACATACACTGTGCATGCATACATAGCATTATAAGACAGGAAGATATTTTTTCCTATTTATAGTTGCATGAGTTACAGAATGTTGATTTTGAGATCAACAAAAATAAAATGTAGGCCAGTATTATCCTTTTGTTATTTGCTTTAACATCTTGACCCAGGTCACCGGAGCGGTGCGACACAGTGGTACGTGGTCAGTTGGCCGAAAAACAAAACTAATGCCTTCCGCCGGTCACCACGTGTACACAATGTACGAGTACAGAAAATTATTTACATCACATATTAAATATAATGTTCACAATAACTGTCACTCATCACTGATCGTAAAAATAAGCAGAATATAACACCCACTGTTCTCAATATTTTAATAAATATACAGTAACATTTCTTATTTTATTTGACCTATATTTTAGCAGACAGGCTACAGACTGCGTGTCCTATAGTCATCACCGGTCTGGTCTAAATATAAAGTGACCCTACATGTATTTTCCATAAACAGGGTACATACGTCATGATCTATTTATAGTGAGAATAATCAAAACATGTCACGAAAACATGCTTGCTTACGTTTGTTAGTTTTATAATACCAATTATCTTCAAAATTAAAATAACAATGAACGTGGCACAATATTCATCTAAGGAGTGGGAGGATGAAAGAATTCTCGCTACCTACGGTAAACGCAAAATAAAAACGAGAACAACTTTGCTGTAATTTGCATGGCACAGGGATGCCAAAATTGTTTTGTCTTGTCAACTTTAGCCAGGTACACTGTTGTTGGGTTTATCAAAAAAAGGGGGGAGGGAGAAGAAGGTTTCCCCCGTAATCTAAGGTAAGGGAGGCCCGATGCCAACAGTGCCCCGTCCCCCTCCCCCATACAACACCTTTCTTTATCCACAAAGTGTTTTAGTGAAATTATTAGAGTAGCTGATATTTTAGCAGTCAGAGTTAGACAACATCTTTCAAATGACACAATTTTTTTTCTTCCGTGGTTTTCTAAACCAACTACAGTAACCTGAATAGAAAGCATAAATACTGACTCTCATCCTCTAAAATTTGTTGCATGGTTTAAAATCTATGAAGGGCAACAGTTATAAAACTAGTTTGCATCCTTCGGATACATTCAAACTTTTAAATAATGCAGTCATTTTAACTTAATAGAATAAAATCTATTGTGATATTGCAGATATTCTACAGAAGAGGCTCAAAGACAAATAAGAAATTAAATAATAAAAAATTAGTCACAGTTTCTATAACACTTAATAGCGGTGTTTCTAAAAATAAGAAAAAGGCACTGAATATACTTTAGCCAAAATTGAGGTTTGTTTACTTTGTTTTTATCTCGGGTACAAAATAGCAATACAGGGATCGCATCATAAAACGCCTGGCCCAGCATCGTGTCATAGAGGTATTAAGTAAATGTAGTAAATAAAATTTAGCTGGACAGTGGACTGTCCGGAAGTCGTTTACTACGCACTGATGACTTACGCAGATTGTAGCCATGGCAATTTAGGCCATCCTTGACCACAAGACGTGAGAGCGGCGAAACTGCATCCTTGACCAGAGAGTATAAATGGACAGCGCCGCTAAACCCAGCAACCAAACACTGAAAGAAGCGAAGAAGAGAAGAACAATAGTGAGCATATATAAATTTTGAGAGAATATAGGTAAGCAAACATTTTTTCATTTATTATTTTGTGACTGTCATATTTTCGGCATACTGTAGTTTACTTGGTTATAGTAAGGCTTCTATGATAAGCAAAATGAAAGTAGCTATCGTTTTGGTAATTTGGTATGTCATATTCAAAACCTTATTCTTACAACAGGCCCACGTTCGATACATTTAGGATATCATATGTATTTGCTCGTATCTTCGACATACCAAATAATAACTGTTGATTGCTTCGTCCTAACTCCTATATTTTATTTGTTTTATTTGTTTTATTTGTATTCGCGTAATTTTGGGGGTCTTTGCAGCATCTGCGTGATAAAAAACAACAAAATATGAGCTGCTTCACTACAACAACATTCTGAATATCAACGACAATTTTTATATCTCACATACATGTAGCAAATTTCATGATTTCATACATGTACATATACATTCTGACATTTATGGAATATTTGCTTTCAGAATATCATGGTCCGCCTGTTAAAGACCACGAAGCTGTATGTTTGGGCCGTGATGACAGCTTTGCTGTTGGTGCAGAATTTCCATCCAGGTGAGTGAATGCCATATATATATAAAGAAACCTACTTCAGTCAAAATATTCGACGTTTTAAGGCTTTTGTGCCTGTGGGCCTTTTACAATCCTAGTTTAGTATTACCCGATTAGGACACATTGATCGAAAAATTAAGTTTTAAGTTTCAAAGAATAAATGGACAAAGCTAATACTTCTCCTTTATTTCAGTCATAGGATACGCCATCAGAGTACAGCGAAGAGAGGCTAATGATGACGCGCAGTTATTGGAACATAACGAAGCTGACGAATCAAATCACCGCATCCAAAAGAGATGTACGTATTTTTAGATAATGCACATACATTGTACAATGAACGTGCTAATTGGCGATTTTAAATTTTGTATTTTAATTGTATTTTAATTTGCAACCGTTTTATCTTCATCTTTCGGAACGTATTAAACGGGTTTTTAAAAATATGTCAGTACATGAAACTTGTAGCATTGCTTTAGTTGATCTAGCATAGTTATTGAGTTTTAAGTGATATGATTTTCCCTTTTAGCCGTTGTTGGAGCTGGTCTGAAATTCGTATTAAAAAATTTCTGGGATGATTTGCTGTGTCTAGGAGCGCACTTAACGACCCTAACAAACTGCAACAGTTTGTCACCCGGAGCTTGCCAAAGGTAGGTTTACGTCCTACTTGGTATGACTATGATACAATGTATTACCAGTTGTGGTCGTCTGCTATACAAATGCAGTAAATCTTTCGATAAAATGCAGTATCTGTTTTCTCCTTACTTACCAGTAGTGAAGGAGAGGTCAAAGACATGGCCATGGTAGAACTGACAGCTACGGTAGTACAATTAAGGGATCATATACATTAACGTTGGGTAGAAGTCCTACTGGACACGAATTTAAAAGAACTAACAGGTCGTCCTAGAAAAGTTAACAATCTGTACCAAGCCATATAAAATTGCACATTTACGGATATCCTCTGAATATCTCATAATCATCATCGCTTAGGAATGTGCATAGGTCTTTTAAAATGTGATATTTAAATAATTAATCATTTGATTGTTGGCATTAATGTGTAAGACAAACGGAATTCGAGATTTTAACAGAAAACGAAGCTGTGAAAGGAAAAAATAAACCCCGTTGCATACTCGCACTCTCATAAAAGCCGCCAAACCTTCAACCATATAGTTGTAAAGGTAGCCATGGACCTCCGCAAACTGTAAAATGGACTTCCAATAGAACTTTATAAAATTCACATTGTGACCGGTCTCTTTACTAATATGCAAACACTATCATGTAACTTTGGTCAAGTGGTAATCTACCCAGCGTGTATAGACAAAAATGCTTTTCTATACGGCCTATACAGAAACATTTTTTAAAAAAACTGTCGTTATGAAAAGTCACATTTCATAACATTTTCATACTTATTTGCAATTGAATCATTTTCAGACTAAAAGATTTAGAAACCAAACGCAGCGAAATTGAAAACCTTGTGAACGAGACACTGGAGACACAAGTTGAATGGGCAACATTGAATGCTACCAACGAAAAAGCCATTACTAATTTACAGCTAATTGAAAAAGACTTGGAACTGGTAACATCCAGCAACCTTCGTCTTATGGGCTTACTAAATTCAATCAGCGTCATAGAAGAAACAGACGATATTTACGACTCGGCCACCGATAATGTCACAGAGATCAGAGTACGTTTCCAGATTGAGATGGAAACCTACCTGAACGGAATCAAAGCATCACTGTCATCTGTAGATTCCCAAATCGAATCTTTAAAACACCGCGACTACGTAATGTTTGCTCTCATGACAGCAGTCCCCCTTGTAGCTCTGCACACCAGCCACATTGTAACATCCGCCCGTCAAGCTGTTCTCACGAGAAGCCAGTCCTATCAAGTGGTAGATATCGTTGGTGGCAACGGCAAGATGAGACTCGCGTATAACCCAGAAGGGCGCCTCTACGTCGTGCAGGATTCTCCAGAATTGGGGAAACTGAAGGTTCTGCAGTCGCTCGATGACGCAGGGAATGTTGGACGGTTCTGGAAGTTCATGACGCCATCTGGACAGTCTGCCATGGTTTCCGAGTTCCTTGAAAGCTTTGACTTTGAGAGAGGCAAAAGAATTGCTTGGCTCCAGCAAAATAACGCCGACTATCTGAACACACTGAAACAAAAGGGGTATATGAGTGCATTCCTGAGTAGAACAGATGGTCTTACAACAACAGAGCTAGATGACTTTGTAAAGAAAGCCGCAGTTTTAGACCAAGATAAGTTCTACAAGTACGATATCGATATCCCTGAAGCTGATCTTCCAAAGAATATGAAAGTAGGCCTAGACTTTCTGGACCCAAATGACATTGCTGCGGTCAATGCATACAAAAGACTGAAGGCTTATAACCCTGACCTGCTAGACAGTATGAATAAAGCTGGCACAACAGGTAAGAATTACATAGATTGTTGGGAAATTGTTTATCAATTGGTTTGATTCTTTCGCCTTCCAGCAGTTAAATGAGTTGACAAGCATTACACTAACTTCCAAATATAATTACATGTATTGTAACAAAATGGGTGGTGCTGTATAACTGCCGGTAAACAAACCTCTTTTAAACGTTTCAGGCCAACTATTTGTTTGATGATTTTTCATTTGTAAAACTCTAAAAACTCTCACACCAATTAAACATCAAAATTCTATTTGTTACTGGTTTTAGGTAAATTCTTAGATAACTCCAAAGCACTCTCAGACGCTGAGTTCGACGCCTACGTCGCAAAGGTGAAAGCAGCAGCTCCCGAGTTACCCGACGGTAACCTCAAGCACTTTGACTGGGACACGCCTGCCAAAAAAGTAACATTCACGCAGAGGATCAAAAGTGGTTGGTCATCTTTCCGAAACTTTAACCTGTTTAACTGGAGGGGGCGTCAAGTGAAGATAAGCAATGTTCTTACCATGGGAACTATTGGCGGTTCCTTGAACGTCGCGCTCTGTTTGTACATGACCATTTCGTCAACCCAAAGTGTAGAGGAAAGAATCGAAACCATTGACAGTAGCCTCGACGAAGCCAAGGTGAGCGTGGAAGAGAAACAGGTAGAGCTAGATGCTCTTCTTGTAGAGGAGCAAGACCTCTATACAAAAGTCAAGAACAACACCGTGACCTTGTACAATCTCTTTAGTACCGTCGATAGCACCATTGCAGACGACCCGAGTTGCCAGGACACTTTGTG